ATATATATATATATATATATATATATATATATATATATATATATATACACTCTTGCATGTCTCTTGCGTAGCATCAAAAAATATTTCCCATAAACTGTAGTTTTAAAGAGCGCGTTAATAAACCAGACCAGAAAAAGTTTTAAAAATTAAATTTTTTTTTTAATTGATAGACTGCCTGGCCAAACCAAACCCTCAGTCGATGTAGCAGCACTCTCTTGCGAGTCAGGCTATTTGTCAGTCGTTGTAGCAGCACTCCCTTGCGAGTCAGGCTATTTGTCAGTCGATGTAGGAGCATTCCCTTGCGAGTCAGGCTATTTGTCAGTCGATGTAGCAGCACTCCGTTGCGAGTCAGGCTATTTGTCAGTCGATGTAGCAGCACTCCGTTGCGAGTCAGGCTATTTGTCAGTCGATGTAGCAGCACTCCGTTGCGAGTCAGGCTATAAGATAGTCGATGTAGCAACATTTACGCATGTTTAAAAAATGTTTTTTATTAAATCAATAACAAAAACACCACTAATTAAAAAAAACTTTCTAGTCGTTATAATTGCGGTTTTTTAAAAAAACAATTAAATTTAATGTACTTCCGCATAAATTAATTGCTTTGACATTTCGATGACAATCAAAAACAGCTTAAGAGACGAGGTAATTAAAATTGTAGTCGTAAGAGACTTTTTTTACATTAAAATGCTCTTAAAGCGACACTATATGGGTATATATATATATATATATATATATATATATATATATATATATATATATATATATATACACGCACAGGGACACCATCCATCCAAAAAATTTTATTCTGTTTGACTTTTTATCTTACACAAGTGGAATTTAACTGCTTTAATAGCCAGTGTTCAGTGGTTTTTGTTGGATCATATGCTTCCATTTCCAGACCATCAATCTTGATGTGCAATTGCATTGTTAATAACTTTTTACTGATTTTTGTTCTTTGAATTGACTTAAAGTTTTTTGTTGCCTCTTTCTGCATCTGCCAAACTTAAACTATGGCACAATAAAAAATCAATCAGAGGCAAAAGACTAGTGAATTTATCTGGTTTGATCTTTATTGCTATTTGTGCTCAAGATAGTGGTGGGAATGATTTTGAGCTTGAAGTTGTCCAAGTTGTCATTATTTTCATTTATAATATCCACACTGATAGAATGTTTCCAACATCTACTTGTTTATATTGAAGCTGTTGATGTAATATTTTATCGTCAATAAGGGCTTTTATTTTATTGTCTAGGACGTTTTTATGTGACTTTTTTTTGTTTTCAGCCAAAAAAAAGTCGCTATCTGCCCATTCAACTGTATTAAGCAACTTGTTCACCTTGGCAAACCATCTGATACATTTGAGCATTGTTTCAAAATACACTTCTTCATTGATGTCACAATACCAACTTGAGCTTCGTATTTTATTGTTTCATTCAAATTTACTATCCCATATATTGAGCACTTCCTCTAGTAAAAACCTGAGTCTGGATTTTCGCTGAATCTTTTTAAACTGCATGACATGCAATTGCATGGCATGCTCAAGCAAAGACTTAACTTAATGCATTGAAACAATTTTTGTTTTTTGTTTCATCTGTAAATAAAAACATAAATGATATTACTATTTGTATATTGTGAATATTTTTTTAAATTTAACTGTTTCTTAAATTTATTAGTAAACAATTTATTATTTATTACATTAACATTTTAATTTTAAAAATAGTTTTGTATTTTTATTAAATACTATATAGCTACATTATATGTATAATTAAATATTTGAATTGTAATTAATTCAATATCTAATTTAAATCTCTGAAATAAACAGCTATCAAATAGCTTTAAAATGGCTTTTAAAAATGATGCTGAAAAACTAAGTTAGAGAGCAATGAAATTAAAATAATAAAAATAATGAAATTAAACTAATAAAATTTGAATTAATTTGTTCTTTATAAGTAATCTTAACTAAAAGAGCACAACAAAAATATTTTTAACAAATTTTTTGTTTATTGTAAACAATTTACTTAAATTATTAAATGTTTATATTACTAAAATGTTCAATAACAATAATATAATTATATTATAATAAACTTACATATTATATATATATATATATATATATATATATATATATATATATATATATATATATATATATATATACACACACATACATACATACATACACGCTTGGTCAGGAAGCGGGTGCGATCGCACTTGATAATTGACCACGGAAATAATATTTAGTTGCGTAAAACCGGCCAGATTTTTTAGTTGTTTTGAGAACATTTCAAAAACTAAAAAGCGCAACAAGATTAACTGGACTGTTGAGAGACAGTTAAAAAAAGAAAACAGCTTTTAACACAAAAAAACTTTAAGCAAAAAAATACGATTAGAGCACATCTTTTTGAAACGTCGTTCTTTTATAATTTTTTTATAAAAATTAGGCGACATTTTTTATATAAAGTAACAACTTACTATTAATGATTGTTTAATAAGGAAACAAATGTTCTTTAATTTATCAACGAGTATAAAATTTTTATTTATATACTTATGTCTTATTTCCAGTGCTGGATTGAGGAGGTGGGGGAGAGGGGGATGGGGTAGACGGGCTATAGCCTCGGGACTCACAATTTTAGAGGCCGCGAAATAGTCAAAAGGACCATTCGGTATTTTTTTTAGTCATTTTTATGCTGTGGCACATAAACAACGCCACTAAAATAATGCAGCCCGCGGCCCTGAAAAGTCCAACAAGATTCAACCAGTAAAACTAACTCTAGATGATTTATTTATAAATAAAAAGGGTTTTTTAATAACTGTTTTATGCTTCGCGTAGTTTAAAAAGTTTAACACATTTGAAACTATTATTTTTAGTAAGATGAACAAATGAAATAATTAAATCATTGAGTTACTGTAGAAATTCAATTAACTAGATAGAAATTAACTAAAAACGTTAAATTACTTAGTGAGGAGGAAGCGGAACAGCTTCACATTACCGCTGATAATGTTTAGTGAGTGGGATTTATAATTTTAATTAGTATTTAAAACAGAAAAGAGTTAAGTATAACAAGTTTGTAAGAATGGCTGAAGCAAAAATAATTGAAGTTAACCAATTTCTAAGAACTTTTCTTTCTAAGAACTTAAAAACATAAATTTAAAACATTTATTTTTGCAAACAATCTATGTTAATTTAAAACATTTATAGCTTTGTAGATGTGGCTTCGAGAATGATAGTTCGTTTGATAGTATATTGTTAAAACAATTTATGCTAGAAATCTTGACGAAAACATAACAAAACTCAAATAACACAACTTTTTAAAATAATTCAACAGAATACTCTAGAACATTTGGTTAGTATTTCTTGAATACTCTAGAAATTTCCGCTAGTATTTTTTGAACCAATAGAATTAGTTGTTAGTAGATTTGGCGGGTTTTTTGTGTTTGTTAATATTCTCTTTTTTTATTTTTCCGCACAAAGTTTGAGAACATTTGAGTTTATGTATGTTTCCGTGTAAGTCCGTTATCAAAATATTCTAAGATTTACGATAACTTAATAATTATATTGCGGACAAACAAGGAAACATACGTGAACTTGAATGTTCTCAAAACGACTAAAAAATCTGGCCGGTTTTTCGCAACTAAATATTTTTTCCGTGATCAGTTATCGAGTGCGATCGCTCCCGCTTCCCGACCAAGCCTATATATATATATATATATATATATATATATATATATATATATATATATATATATATATATATATATATATATATATATATACACAGTATTTTATTTATATAGAAGATAATCATGAAGTTCTTATGAACATGAACTTAACTCAATGATCAATTTAAATGTAAATCAGAACTTTAAATATTTAAACAAATTTTCGAGATCATTTAAAATGAATGAAATGAATGAATAAAATGTTTGATGGTAAAAAATAAATCATTTTTAAATAATTGCAGACTGCCTGGTCTTACAATAATCACAGGATTGGAATTGCCAAATGTAATTTAAATGTAATTTTTATGGCATAAATTTAACTAAATGTTTTATGACCAATAGTAACTTTAAAAGTTTTTAAAAGTATTTACTAATTATACAATTAAATGTACATGACACAATCTACAATCATTATTCATTCCTTTAAAGTTCATTTTTAAGATATGACGTGAATGTAGAATTTCAACAAAGATTTAAAATGTAGTTATAAGTTAATAATTTCTACTTTGAAGTAGAAAATAAAAAAAAAATAGTTTATTAGTTTAAACAATAAAGGTGTTTAGTTTTTATTTAGGTTGTGTTTTTTAAAAATGTTTAAACCCTCGCACAATTTTCTTTTCTTCTAATTAATAGTAGAAATTGTGGAAAACAAACTTTAGCGACTTCCAAAGTGGAAAACAAACAACCTTAAAACAACCTTATGACTAGTTAACTTATTTTTGAATTATGTTGCCATTAAGACAAGTAAAACTTAAATACCAATTTCTTTCTGCAATTACAAAAGTTATTACTTATCCTTTCCCTCATCCCCCCCCCCTTTTTTTTTTGTTTGCTCAGTGGGTGTAGTTACATCTCTTACAACAATGTGGTAGTGGTGTAGTGGTAGACTGCTCGCCTCATAAGTGAGTTCCAAGTTCGATCCCCACTACATCCCTGGTAGTGCTCAACTTGTTTCTCCACGCAGAGGCCTTGTTTGTCAAGGTTCGTGTTTTGGAGTTATAGAGTTGATGGCTAAATTTAACTGATACCAATTAATTCTTTAAAATATATTTTTTATAAGTCTAATATTACAAAATTATAAATTGACATTATAGTAATTGTAAATTTATTTATAATTATTTGTTTGTTTTTTAAGTTTAGTTTTTTTTTTTTTAAAAAAATTATTTTATTTTAAATTATTATTTTGTGTTCATCTAAGTTATCAGTAATATATATTTATATGTTATGTTTTTTGTATTAATGTATCTTTAGTATTCTATAGTTCTTTAGGTTGTCTTTTTAGGTAGTACTGAAAAATATTTAACCAAGTTGAATGTTCCGCCAAGAATACCACAAGTAACACAAATAGAAATTCCAGAACAAAATGTTGAAGAAAACAATATAACTGTTAGCAATCTTTCTCCCACTAGTTCAATGCAACATACATTTACATCTGGCGACAGTACTTGCCATAGTTTTGTTGTTGAGAACAAAAACAAACTTTGTAAACCTTTATGTAAAGATATCTTTAACAGTAATGAGGTTTTTACATGTTCTTCTATAAAGCCAAAACTAAGAAGCACAATGAATGAAATTACACATTCATTCAATGAGCACCTGCCACGTATTGAATATAGTTTAGATAACTTGATTAAAATACCTTGGCCAAATGACAATAAAGAAGATGCAGCTTGGGTAGCAGGGCATCATTTATGTTTAACAACTGCAGTTGATTTAAACATTAGAAATTTGTGCTTTCTTTGTGGAAGTGCAGGAAAAGAACATGTATGTTGAATTATATATTAATTTTTATAAGTAAATTTTTTAACTTGATTTATGAACTATTTATTAGTTGATTTTTTTATAACGCATTTCAGATCTATGTTTGATTATGATTTATTTCAGATGATTTTCTGTTCTCTCTGCTGTGAGCCATTTCACACATTCTGTCTAGACGTAGAACCTGTTTTTAAAAAAAACTGGTATTGTGATCGATGCAAATACTGTACTGTTTGTGGAATGAAAGAAAGTTTACTAATGTGTGACATTTGTCATGATTGTTACCATGCTGAATGTCTTGGACCATTTTATCAGTGTGAGACTGAAGGTGAAGATGAGATCTGGGTAATTTATTTTATTTGAACTTTTATTATCGTATATTTGACAGAAACCTAATTTTTCAACATTTTATTAATCTAGGGTTTGAATATAATAAATTGATAAAAAAAGGTTTTAAAATTTTTTCACTTTCTAATAAATAAGATTTTAATAAGGGTCTATTATATTTTGTTCCATTATTTCATCATTTTTCTTCATCATAGGTTTGTGGTAAATGTGTGAAGTGCGTAAAATGTAACAGAAGAACTCCTGGAGATGTCAGTTAAATTTGATTTTATTACTTTTTTTCCTTTTTTATTTTATTATTTGTTTTTTGATAACTGAGTTTTTTTTTACTCAAGCGTTAATCAGTATCTTTCTATATGATATGTGGATCGGATTTTCTAGAAATTCTGCAAAATATGTTTACCTGTTTTTTTACTGCATTTCCTTTATTTTCCTTTTTTTTTTTTTAAATTAGTTTTCAATTATTGTTTACTGCTTATTACCACTTTTCCTGATTTTGTATTATTTAGGTTTTAAAAATTGTTATGAAAATTAGTACTTATAAATTGGTTCAGTTTCTTATTTATTTCTACAGCATAGAAATCACAAATCCTTGCAGAATAGAATTATTGTAACCCTTTGTATTATTTAGGTTTTAAAAATTGTATATTATAGTAGTAATTTGCAGTATAGAAATATTGTACCCTATTATAGTAGTAATTTACAGAATATAATTATTGTAAATTATAGTAGTAAATTGCAGAATATAATTATTGTAACCCTATTATAGTAGTAATTTGCAGAATATAATTATTGTAACCCTATTATAGTAGTAATTTAGTTATTATTTATTATGATATAAGACATATTTTTTTCATTCATCAACTGTTTTTGATGCTAATAAGTTATTCGGTAAGTTGTTCAAAAAAAGACACTATTGGGTTGCTGAAGAAATTTTTGCTGTAAGTATGTTTAGTAAACTCTCTGTACTCTGTGTGGTTCTCCTCTGATATTGGAAGATGGATCTTTTAGAGTTAAACAAAAGGTTTTTGAGTTAAGATGACACAAGATTACTTTGTTTAAATTTGTTTTTATTTAAAAGTGTTGGATGAGGTCTCCTCTAATTCATCTGGTTTCGAGACTTTCCAACCCTAAGCTCAATAAACCTTTTTCATAAGACTTGTGCTTAAGACCTGGTACAAGCTTTGTTGCTCTTTGCTGAACTTTTTAAAGTTCTTTTTTTTTCATTTTTTAAATGTGAATTCCAAACTGGCGCATATTTTTCTAATTCAGGTTTAACATAAGTTGTATATAGTTTAGTAAATGAGAAATTGTACCAGAATTTAAATGTCCGCTTCAATATACCTAGTTTTGAGTAAGCTTTATTGGTTATCATTGTGATGTGGTTTTTCCATTTCAGCTTATTACTTATGTTGATAACTAGGTCTCGTTTCTGTATTGTTTTGTTTATCTTGATGATTGTTCTATTGTGGGTGTTATTTAGTGGTATAGTTTGATTTATTTGGTCAATTAATTTTTTTGATTTGGTACTATAAATTTTCATAACTTTGCGTTTTTTGTAATTTAATTTCATGCTCCAACTTTTTGTCCATTTAACTAGTTTATTGAGATTATCTTGTAATTTTTTTCAATATTTTTGGTTTTTATTACAGCAATTTACTGTCATCTGCAAATAGCATTTGTAAACTTACTGTAATCTTGAAGGTACTGTGAACTATTTCAGGCATGTCATTAACAAATAGATCGAAGAGGTGGTGATAAATTTTGCGTTGTGGTATTGTGGTACCATTTAACACTGGAAGCCATTTGGATACTTTATTATTAATTAGACCTCTTTGTTGCCTGTTTGAGAAAAAATTGTATAGCCAGTTTGTGAATATTTTTTCAGAACCATAAGTTTTTACTTAACATAGATGAGTTTTTTCCGGGAATTCCCGGAATTCCGGAAATTCACATCAAGTTTCCGGGAAATTCCGGATGCTTTTTGCTATTGATTTGTAAAAAGTTATATAAAATTTTAAATACGACATGGTTTGCATTTAAGCAATTATGTTTTCTATAAATGAAATTTTCACGAGATCAATTTTTTCAAAAATTTTTTTTCTTTTTTATAATTCATTCAAATTAACTTTTTCGAATATTAGAAATTCTTTTTCTTAAGAAGTTAATTGATGTAAATTCCGTTTTAAACGTTTGCAAAAGATCTTGTCGTTAAAAATTACTATCAAGAAGAAAGAAACGAAAATGCAAGTTGAGAGTTTATCTGACATTTATCTGAGACAAAAATATTAAAAACAAGTTTCGCTGGAATTGGCTTCAAGAGAAAGACTATAATGATGAGCATTATTCAGCCTATATTACAAAGATAAATAAAGCCGGAGCGGTAAGTTTATTCTCTAACTGAACACTGAAATATATAACTTCATCATAGTTATATATTATTTGATTTGATGTTTTAGGTACAATGTACAATATGTAATAAAGACTTTTATTATGGAAGTGAAGGTAAAAAATCTTTACTCAGCCACTCAAAGTCTAAAATGCATCATCAAAACTGCGCAATGATTAAGTCCAACGAAGCCATACCGTCGTCATTTTTTACTAATTTAAAAAAAACAGATATGTGTATATTGCCATATGGCACTCCGGATAACGTGCATATTGGCAGTACTTGCACAAAGAGAGTAAAGCCTACCATTAAACCTATTGTAAGTTTTAGAGACAGGACATCAAATGCAGAAGCTATGACACTCGCATTTATTTATGAACACAATCTTCCAATATCTTTAACATCCCATATGATTGAATACGCAAAGGAAATGTCATGACCCAGTTAACAAAAATATCTGTGGTCATTTGCAAACTGCAAGCAAACGCTATAATAAAAAAATGAAATTCCATCGGAAAAATAGAAAATTTGAAGAAAGATTTTTAAATATAAATTCAACGTGGAAAAAAAAATTGCCTTACATGAACAGTGCAAAAAAGTTAAAGAATCTATTATTGATCATGCAAAAAAGTGCAGAAAAAGAAAAGCTGACGAATGCTTCACAACAGAAAATTATAAGAAAAAAAAATGTTGATTCCTGACATTTATTCCATTGTCTTACATTTTATATTTTAAATATAAAGAAATTATTGCGCTTTGCAGGTTGCTTATGTTAAAACTGAGATATTATATTTCATTTTAGAGAAACATAATTAATGAGTAGTTTTTAGTTTCTTTATTTATCCCTTTACCAACGTTCCAGAATTTACCCACATACCTTCGTCAATTTATTGACCCTAAATTTTTCCGGGATTTTCCGGAATTTTCACGAAAATGACTTTCCGGGATTTTCCGGGATTTTCAAAGAAAAAAATTTCCGGGATTTTCATAAAGTCGAAAACTCATCTATGACTTAGTTAGTTAGTTACATTAGGTTAGGTTAGTTTATGATCTACTGTATCGAATGCTTTAGCAAAGTCAAGGTAAACCACTAAAGCATAAAATCAATTAAAGCATTGGTTATCACATCTACTGATTCAAGCAAATTTGTAAACAGTTCTTTAGCAAATAAGTTATATAAATTTAAATAATTTGTTAAGTCATCTTTTATTATTTTTTGAATTACTTTACTAAAAACCGATGATGGGTAGATAGGTCAATAATTACCTGGATCATTCCCCCCTTCTTTTTTTTTGGAATTGGTGTGATGTTTATTTGTTTCCATAATTTGGGTAGTCCCAATATTGTTTTGATGAATAGTAAGTGGTAGGCTAAGAGCAGAACTGCAGTTTTTAAAAATATAAGAAGAAATATCATTGCAAATGAATTGCTGAATTAAGTAAGGTTTTCATTCTTAGAACGATTTCAAACATTTTAAGTTTGTCTGAATGGATTCCCCAATGGTATTTTTTTTTGTTGCGTTCATTGTAGCATTGTCTGTGTTTTCTTAATTCAGTGTAAAATGTTGTTCATTTTCAGTTTTGTCCTAAACATTTTTGAAGATATCGATTTCTTTTAATTTTTTTGAATTACTTAACTTTGAATTACTAACATGAGTGTGTATGCTAACTAGTTCAATTATAATTAGGTCTGTACGTCCTTCTGGTCCTTTTTTTTTTGTTAAATGTATTATTCTTTTTGTATTGTTTAATGAAAGGTTGATACTGATCCATTTTAGCATTATTTTGATTCTTTGTTTATCATTTTTTTAAGGTTGTGTTAATATTACAAGAATATATACATAACAAGCATCATTTATTGCGCTAATAAAAAATTCTTTAGACGAGTATTGTCTTTTTGTTTTTACACTAGCTATCTAGCTAGCTATCCATTTATTTAACATTACTTATTTGATGAAAAATTTGACAAAGAGCTTTAAAAGTTTCTACTGTTTATAAAAATTGTTTTAGATTTTCTTATTCTAATAGAATTCAGGCATTTTAAGAATTATTACAGCAATCAAAAATTCCTTATTATATAATATATAAAATATATAATTCATTACATAAAATAAAAATTATTTATGCAATAGTAAAATGAAATAATTTTATATTTTATCAATTAAATTGTTTTATATTTTATCAATATAATTTAAAGTGTAGTAATGTTATATTTATCAAAAACATGTGCATTTCAATTAGCACTCTTTTATAATTATTTTTATTGCAACTGTACTTTTTAAAAAGCATTGCAGTTTATTATGCAATTAATTTATATTTTTTTATAAAAATGACTTTGTATTTTTTATTTTAGTTACAATGGTAATTTTACTATTGAGAGAAAAAATTATACTTTTGCGAAAGCCATAAATTGCTTCCGTAAATCATTTTAGGGGAATAGTTTTGCCAGGCTGGGGCTGACCGGGGCTGTAAAATGTCTCATTTTTAGTCAGGGTCTGGTCCTCCACCTGGTCACTTACTAGTTATGCCAGGATTTTTCAATTCACTTCTTCTAACAAACTTCTAGTCTATTTCCATGACTATTTTACTGATTTAAGAGAGGGCTACCACTCTGAATACCAGTGGATCTGGTCTCTTTAGTAGAAGGACTACCACTCTGAATAACAGGGGATTACCTTTTTTATAAATCTAATACCTTAATAACACAAATTGTATGAAAAGATTAAATGTTTTTTTTCGTGTTTTTTTCTAATCTTGATCTTTATGAAAATGACTTTTGTGTTGTTTCAGTTTCTTACTGAGTTGTATGTAAATAACTATTATTGAGTCGTGTGAATATAACTATTATGCAATTTAAATATAAAAGTACAAAAATAAAGAAACTTTATAAAACCTTTTTTTATCTTTACCTCCTCCTTAGATTTTTAGTTCCTCTAATATTTTCTGGTGATCAAATGTCATCTATGATTATATGGGAAACTTAATTGAGTGTAGCTTTCTTTTTAAGATTCTTATGTAGATTAGGTACTTATTGTAGAATAGGTGCTTAATGTAGATTAGATAATCAGGAATTTTTTACTTATTTTATAGTAGGTTTCAATCCATTTTGTTTGTTTGTTTTTGTTTTGCTTATGACTTAATTTTTCAATAATGATTATATTTATAAATTAACCATTTATTTAGAATAAGTCATCAAGATGGATGCAGAACTTTACCATGTGTGAGAAATGTGATTTCAACTGGAAGAAAGGAAACTATTGTCCAGTGTGTTTAGTGTTATATAATGATGATGATGATGCATTAAAGATGATGTTTTGCACAAAATGTGAAGCATGGGTTCACATGGAGTGTGAGGGAATTACAGAGGATGATTATGAAATACTAGCTGATCTTCCAGATGATGTTCCATATTTGTGTAAGTTGTGTACTGGAAATAACAAAGAAAGTCAGAAATGGTTTATTGCAACAAGGACCGAACTCAAGAATGGCTTTTTAAAAGTAAATACTAAATTATTTTTTTTCAACTTATTTTATTTTTTAAATAAATCTTTGAGCATAGATTGTATAAGAAAAGTGGTATGTGACTTTTTTTTTGTTTGTTTGATTATCTACATAAATATTACCTTTTTCAACCATTCTTTTTCCTTCCATAATCCATCACTCAATCTATTTCAGCATTTGTTTATCTCTATTTTAAGATTGTGCCATTAGCAACAAAGCATTTATATGTAAGTTTGTTATACAAAAAAAAAAGATCTATAAAAATGTTTATACAAGTAGGTTCATGTTTTAAAACCTTTTACAGTTTTAAAAGACACTTTTTAAATCTCTTTCTTCAATATTGAGCTTCTTCCTCAACAAAATCATCAGGATACCAAAATTATTATTTGGATAGTAAAATATATTTAATAAATAAAATAAAGTAAATTAAAATAATAAATAAAAAAAATAATTAATTTTTTTTATATATATATAGTTAGTAAATAAAAAAAATATATTAAAAAAAATTGTTAGTATAATTTTGTTTTAATTATTTTTCAGGTATATTCAAGTGTTATGTTAAATAAAGATTACAAAGCATTATGTAAGGTTTTTGGTGAAAATAGTGTGATGGTATCAGGATTTGACACAATGTTAGATAGTATTCAGTCATCAAAAGTAAAGGATGTGCACGAGTTCAAAAATATGTTTCTGAAAATAATCAATGAACTAAAAATATTGGTTAAAGAGATGCAAGTTGTGGATGTATTTGACTGTTATATTTTCAAACAAGTCAATAAATTATTTGTTCAATACTTAAAGGTAGCATATAATATTTCTCTTTGTTTAAAAATTGAGAACTTTTTTTTTCACTATTTTGAAAGAAACAATTTCAAGAATGTTTGAGAATTTATGTTCTTCATTAGTGAAAAAAAAAAATAAACATAAATTTATTTCCTAGAATTTATTAATTTTGAAATAATAGCTAAGCTTCTTGTTACAATAGTAAATAAAGACTGTTAAAAATAATTGATTTTAGTACTCCTAAAATACTTTTTTTTTTTAAATTAATGTTTAACATTAGTTTATATGGGATAGTTGCAAATTTCTTTTTTTTTTTAATTCCTTATTCCTTATTTTGTTATGTCTCACAGTTCGCCTTAACTAAAATTAGGATTTTTGAATTGTGTCTAAATTAATTTCAACGTTTTCTGAGAGAGTATAGTTAACTTATCACTATGTATATAGTCCACCAAATCAGAAAATTCCTATTAAGTAATTATGGGATTTTTAATATTTTTTTTCATATTTTTTGTCTTTTACGACCATCTTTAATCCACCATTTTTTCTGCCTTAAATATAATTGCAAAAGACAATCATAGAACAAATTTTGCTAAAAAAATGTTAAGAATCCGTAAATCACATCCTCAGACTATTTTAGATCATCAAAAGAAAAAGTATGCTTTTTTTGTGGTCGCAAATGTCATATGAAAACAAACAGCAAAAGCCATATAATTTCTAAATTTTAGAGCTGTTTTTCGCATTATAACATTGCTGATGACGGATATCCTACTGGATTGTGTCCAAGGTTGGTATACTTAATGATTTTTAACTAAATAAATATATAAAAAGTAAATATGTCATAAACATGAAACCATTTATGAATGGTTTTATGTTTATGACTAGGGATTGCAATCCCGGGCATGAATTTATGACTAGGGATTGCAATCCCGAGGCTTCTCGTTGGTTCTGGCATCATTCAACTGTTGACTCGAACTAGGTAAATTTTTGTCGGCTGAAGTTACTTTCAAATTATGCTTAGTTGATAAGTGCGTATGAAGGCCTTTTGTAGAACCACCCAATGTTTTCAAAATTACACCACATTTCTTACATTTTGCTGCCAAATTATCCGCAGACTTCAAATAATGTGACCACACTGAAGTTGGGTCTTTATCTTTTTTGTGTAGAAAAAATGATGTTCCCTTTTCACTGTTTTCATTCATGTTTAGAAGGATATTTTTTTAAGGTGCATTAGTAAACAACATATTATTGCGGTAAACAACAAAAGCATTAAAAAGGTTATCAGTTCAAAACGTTCAAAACGATTCATTCCACAGTCAAATTTTGTATGTATTCACACTAGAATTCCTTCAAGCGGAATTAATTGTCAAGGGCATTATAATGTTGCAATAACTAATAATTGTACAAATATAATTATACAAATCGCTAGAAATATCCCAAAGGGAATTGTTATGTAGTAATATAATATAATTTTTTTATTACTTGTTCATTTTTATTTTTTTCATTCTCTAAAAATATTTTTTGAAATGAACAAAACGACTTAATAAACTCAAGCAATCACTTAACCACAAATTCGCTCAACAATTTTAAAATTTATCTTTTTAACGCGAGAAGTCTTGCCAACAAACTTAACGATTGTTTTTTATACAATAGTCAAACAAACCTGCCTTAATTTGTGTTTGTGAAACTTTTTTCAATGATAAAATCCCAAACTCCATGGTCTATTCCAAAATTTGTTCCATTTATCGTAAGGATAAAGCATAAACAGGATAAACCTGCAAAGCAGCATTATATAACTCGTTATAATTCAGTATAGTTACCAACTTTGAACATTTTGTTTTACAAAATAATTTAATTAGTTCAATCCTGTTATAATCCCGAAAATCCCGGGATTTTGTGTTTAGAATCCCGGGATTTTTGGGACCCAAAAACGTCCGGGATCCCGGGATTGCAATCCCTATTTATGACATATTTTTACTACAAGGTATCCAATTTTTCAGTTATGTGAATTCACATAATTGAAAAGTTGGATACTTTGTTAAACTCAAAGAAATAAGGTTTAATAAATGAATCAAACCACATTTTGCTTGATACTAGCATATCTTTATCTATTTAAGGTGTAGGGGTATGGTTGAAAGAACAAATGTTGTTGACCTCAGACATAAAATTAGGTTTGACATTGACTAGTCAAAGATGACTCTTCGGGCTTAAACACAAACTGGGTAAAATGTTATTTTATTTGTACCTCTGTTGTAAAGAAATACAAAATTATAATTTTTTTTTATAACTTTAGGAAACTAAAAACTTGTAATCATCAAATGATAAAACTTGCTAATATGATAGGGTAAAATCACAATATTAATACAAATTCTGCACAATAGAATCATGCAATATTTGTAGCAAAATTTATTATTAAAAAAAATTAATAATTACAGAGTTGTTGAAAAAAGAAGAAACATTGTAGAACCTAGACTGAAAGACTGTGTCTCTGATTTGGATAGTTATCTTCTCCCATTATTTACTGAAGAAAATATTTTATTTAAATTTAAAAACAAAGATACTGCAATGATGTTACTTCTTTTGTTAAACTACTTCTGGATCTTAAATGTGTTGATTCTAAGAATCAGTTGTTTAAAATTGCTGTTGACAGGTGAAGTGGTTTTATCAAATTTTGTTTAAATATAGTTGATTTCAATGAAATTTTTGAAAATTACAGCAAATTTGACATAGATTATCTTAAAACAAAACCCGTAACAGATTGCAGAGGTTCATATAAAGATGATCTAATAAAGAAATTCAAAGATTCGTCAGTAAATGCTTTATTTTTTCTTCTGGTAGCTCCAGAGATCCCAGAAAGATATTTTAACATTAAAATATTACTTGAAAAACTAAATCTTGAAAAAGTTGAGCACATTGAGGTATGTGACATAAAACTTTATCAAATTCTGACAGGTATATCTCCAAGTAGCAGTTAAATTCATCCCTGTTATGTATGTGAGTGGGATAGAAGAGAAACTTGGGAAAATGCTCCATACAGAACCTTTGAGAGCTGTAAAGAAAACTATACAAAATTCAAAGAATCTGGTTCAAAACCTAAGTGTGCACAACATTTTAAGAATTGTATAAACCCTGCATTAGTACATGGAAACCCCTCTGAATTTCTTTTAGACTTGTTTTACCAGAGCTTCATATAATGGAGGGAGCAGTCAATCATGTAATGAACAATATGGAGCAGATTTGGTTGGAAATGAAGGAGATTTATGAACAGTTGCAAATTATTTAGATTGGTAAGCATGGTGGAAAATTTAATGGAAATTCTTCTTAAAAAATTCTTAATAAGTGGGAAGTGTTTAATGATAAGCTCCCAATTAAACTAAAGTCTTTTGGAGAATGCTTAAGGTTATTAAATTTAGATGAAAACTTTCAAACTAATATCGAAAATTTAAAAGCCTGCTATAAAAGTTGATGTTAGAACATGTTATTACTTTAACACCAAAATTTCATATCCTTTTCAATCATGTAACTGAATTCTGTAAAACAAAAAAAATGGGCCTTGGAGTTTATTCGGAGCAATTTGGAGAAAATGTTTACTACCTTTTCAAAACTGTCTCATGGAACCGCTACAAGGTGTCTGCAAGTAATTCTAATTATGGACATAATTTAGTAAGGACATTAAGTTCTTATAATGGAAACCTTCTTGTTTCTCTTGGAAATGTTGATCTAAATGTTAATATTTTTTAGTGATTCAATTCGACAAGAAATAGTTTTTAATTTTATATTTGTAAATATATGCTTGTTTGATGATTTAAAACATTCCAATTATGCGATTATCCACTCTTTAATAATGTAATATAACAAAATACCTTCTGTATTATTCATTTCCAATAAATTGTCTGTAACTTTTAACTAAAATTAACAATAAAATTTTGAATGATAGCATGGCAGACCAAAAATGGCGCAAAACACTTGCGAAAAAGGTGCAAAATAAAAGGGGCGAAAAAATCTTTAAAGCACCATAATTACTTAATAGGAGTTTTCTGATTTGATGGACTATATACATAGTGATAAGTAAATATACTCTTTCAGAAAATGTTGAAATTAATTTGGACACAGTTCAAAAAACCTAAATTTAATTAAGGCAAACTGTGGCCTTGTGCCAATATAAATTTTTTTGTGCCAATATAAATTTTGTTATGACAAAACAATTTGTTGATTTTTTATACTGCATTAGTAATTTTAAAGAGTTTTTTTTTAAGTACCTCAATGATGTTTTTCCCTGGCACTTGGCTGATAAATCAATCATGTCAAATACGGAATATCCAGTAGTTATAAAAAGGTAATTTGTTGTTGTTGTTGTTGTTGTTGTTGTTGTTGTTTTGTGTTCTCCTTTTTACTTAAAGATTTGTTTCAATTATATTACATTTTTATTTTGCCTCAAGTTCTGTTCTGTTTTAGCAATTCTGTAAATTACGAGTGCACTCCTTATATTTCAAATTATGGTGATCACACTTATTCTGTTGCTTCAAAGCTTGAAGAAAATTACAAAGATACAAAAGACCTTAAGGATAGTTCAATAACCGTATGTAGATTTTTTATGATTTGAATCAATCAAGATGGTTACTTAAATTACAAAAAAAAACTTAAAATGAAAACAGGAGTGAAAAAAAAAAATAATATTTTGAATATTTAGAGAGAATAAAAAATAAAATTTTAAAAGTGTATTTTTTAATAATTTGATGTAATTTATTGAACAAAGAAAGTTCTTAAGATTTTCCAAGTTTTTATTCAATTTGATGCATCTTTAAAATATGATCAAATCTTTAAAATTTCATCATTTTCATGATCAAATATCATCTATGATGTGTATATAATTCAATTTGATGCATAAAATCTTTAAAATTTCATCATTTTCATGATCAAACATCATCTATGATGTGTATATGTGTGTTTATAGCATATGTCAAATAAAAATTGGTACAACTAATTTTTTAAATGATTTAGTTATTTAACTCCATAACAGCATATTTTGACCATGTTTGGTCAAAACAACATATTTTGATCATATTTGGTCAATTTTTTTGTGTATTGTTAACAGGGTTGGCAAAAACGTGGGTTTTTTTTTAAAAAAACCCGACCCAGTGGGTTTTATTGGGTAAATTTGGGTTTTTTATTTTTATTTTGTCCCTGTAAAAAAAATTTTTGTTTTTTTGTTTAATGATATTGAAAATTAGTTTCATTTTCTACTTAAACTTTATTTAAATTATATTTTATATATTGTTATTTAATTATTTATAACAAGAATTTTTTTAAATTATTTTGAAAAAGATTTTTAAATATAACTTAAAAATGTAATAGAAAAAAAAAATTCACGCCTAATCTATATGTATTGATTTATTTTAAATTTGAAAGTATTATTCTATATAATTAAAAATGTCAATGAGAAAATGGGAAAAAAAAGGCTAGAGAATGGGAGGTAGTAACTGAAGTTACAATTAAACTTTGAACTTGAAATTCAAATGAACAAACTTGTTCCTCTGCGCAGCGGCCTTGTTTATAAAGATTCGTGTTTAGGAGTTAAAAAGTTGAGAGAGGATTGTAATCACAACAAGGTAGCCTCCTTGACTGTAACCACAACAAGGTAGCCTCCTTGACTGTAACCACAACAAGGTAGCCTCCTTGACTGTTGTGTTGGCTTCTCTGATCACTACTACTCATTTAAATTCAACTTGGGAGGTGAATAACATAAAAGAATAAAAATTTAAATTCAACTTGGGAGGTGAATAACATAAAAGAATAAAAATTTAAATTCAACTTGGGAGGTGAATAACATAAAAGAATAAAAATTTCAATTGATAAAAATATTTGAATAAAAATTGTAATAATGTATTTCCAAATAATGATTCAAATAATAGTAAACCTGCTCTGATAGCTGTTATTGTTGCTTATAATAGTTAATAATAATAGTTAATAATTATTTTAGTTAATAATATTATAGTTATAATGTTAAAGTTGGTTATAATAGTTCATAAACTTATTAAATATTTCTAAAAAAACCTAATAAAACCCAAATTTTCCGGGGTTTTATTGGGTTTTTTTAGGCTTTTTTTTTTGGGGTTTTATTGGGCAGGTTTTATCGGGCGGGTTTTTTAATGCCAACCCTGATCATTAAAGCTAGCTTGAAGTAAATATAGACTTTGACTCTTTTTTTTCTCAGGCAATAATTTTAGTTTCTAGATGGTAAACATCAACATTCATGTACAACTATGAAATGGGTTTTTATAATTAGTTTAACTTTATTCTTACTAGAAAGTGCAAAGATGATTTTAGAAAAAGAAAAAAAAAAGCAAACATGATTTTTAATTTTGATTAAATTTCTTTATTTGTTAAAAAGATTAGTTTGTCTTGTTTTGTATCATACCATTTCAAAATGCATATGTCGACCATCAGCATTTTTTTAAAATCAGAAATTATTAGACTTTTAAAACAGACATTTCAGCTCTGATGTCTAGCTAATGTGCCAACTTTTTGTTGTACTATTATTTGGAAAAGTTGAACTATTAGACATCTATTAATGCTTGAGATTTATATTAATGTAGAAAACTTTTTTTTATTCTCTTATATCTTTGTTAACAATTATTTGTTTAATAGAATTAAAAATCATAAAAAAATTTAAGAAAAGTTTCTAGATAAAATGGTGCTTTGCTTAAAACTTTTTTTGGTACTGACAAAATTTATTAAAGCATTATAAAAAAAATTTTAAAAGTTAAATTAAAAGTTTAACAGGTATGATGTTTAGAAATTTACAGCTGCATATGCCAGATTTTTGTTTTTACGAATCCGAATGACAAGAGAAAGCATATTAAAAACTTGTTACCTTTTTTTGTAGTAGACAGGTTAGATGTTTGGAAAATGAGGCTAAAAGATCTTTTTTGGTAAAAAAGTCTTTGCAATTGTTACTTGCTGACTCTTGAGATAAAATATTCATTGCATCTTTATTTGTAAAAGAATGAAAAAATAACATATATCAACTTCAATAATAAAATTGAGTAATAATTTTAACATAAATAAAGGTATTGCTTAAAACTTCATTAAAAATAAATCCATAGTAAATACTTTGTATTTAATTAAATTAAATGTAAGATGAAGAGTATGCTTTCATTTTAAGGTGGTTGTGGTACTGGTAGGCTGTTGTCATGTCCGACAGTTGCTGTAGATGATATGTCTAGATATTGAAGAGCTTGTCTCCTTTTAGCTTTTCTGTACTTAGTAATATCAATCATAAAAAAGTAATTGTCATTGTGCTCTTCTGGTTCTTTGGTTTTGGTTTCATTGGTTCTTCTGCTCTCTCCATACTCTGGGAATAGCCAGCCTTTCTTCTTCCTCAACCTGCTCGAGTAGTTTAGCAGGTTACACATATCACATGAGGGGCCCATGGTTTATTCTGATCCAATAAAAATAATGATTTTTCTTATTAAGAAAGTTTTTTTATGTATGTATTTTTATGTGAATTTTAATAATGTAGGATTTGAGAAGATGTATGTTTTGTGGTGTTTATGGTGATGGTGAACTTTGTGGAGCAGGGCGTCTACTTTATTCTGGGGATAATGAATGGGTACATGTAAATTGTGCTTTGTGGTCAGCAGAAGTGTATGAAGATGAAGAAGGAAGACTGAAACATGTGTATGAAGCAATTAAACGAGGAAATAAAATTGTATGAAATGTTTTAATTTTGTTAATTTGAAAAAGTTATTTATGCACGTTTTTTTTTTTTACTTGTTACCATTTAGTTAACATTCTGTTACATCTAAACCATTTTATTTACATCAAGTAAAATAATACACCCAAATCATAATATTTACACAATTATGTACTGAAATTGTATCTATTTTTCAGAAATGTGATCTGTGTGATCAGTTAGGAGCCTCTGTTGGGTGTTGTTATCAAAAATGTCCAAAGAGTTACCATTTCATCTGCGCCAAGTAAGTTGTAAAATTAAATTCAAAGTTAAAGTTTTTCGGCACCAAGTCAAGTTATGAGTCTTATATTCAACTATAAAAGTGCAAAAAAAAAAGCGTTTTTTAAAAATGTGCAGAATTAAATGGTTTTTAATCACATATATAAATAATTTTGACATGAATCTATACTAATGTTTATATATTAGCAAAACACTTTTAAATGAAGTAATTGATTTTAATTGAACTAAATGATTTTAATAAACGTATCAATGAAAGTTGTATGAAAATTTATTTATATTATTAATTATATAAGATTTTTCTCTTATGTAATTAAAAAAAGTTTAAATTTACAAACAACGATTTTAGAAAATGGTTTTCTTTTTAATAAAAGTTTTGTTGAGAAGGAAAAAATGACTTTTTTAAAAGCTGTTTGAATTAGATAACTTTGATCTTTACTTATATATTAATATTATTGAACCCATTTAAAACAAGTAACAAATCACTGCTACGATTTTTTTGTAAAGTAGTAATAAATATATATATATATATATATATATATATATATATATATATATATATATATATATATATATATATATATATATATTTATAGTTATTTTTTATATGTAAATATATAATATATATTTTTATATATAAATATATATATTTTATAATTATTTAAGTATGTATTTGTATTCTAAATGTCTTCAAATGAAGAAATTGTTTCAACATTATAATGAAACGATTTAATTATTTTTTCTTTTGTAAACGTTACTGTGATGAATTGTTAACAGTCTTTTTTTTAATTTTTAAATGCGTGTATTTATTAAACAATCATTTGATGTAGTTTGTTTATTTAAATGGGTTTCACATAATATTATATTACAAAAACATAGTAAAGATAAACAATATAAAGTTATTTATTCCAAACTTATTTTAAATAATATTATTGTTATAGTTTATTTAATTTTATTTTTTTGATTTTAGTTTTAGTTAAGTTATTTTTATTTTACTTTTCGTTATTTTTTTTTTTTATTAAAATTTATTTGCTGCTTTTAGGATTTTTAGGTTTCTTTATAGTTAAGATAAGTTTATCAGTGCATTTTTAAAATGTATATAAATTTTCAAAACATCTCAAAAGCTGTGGTCAAGTTTTCAAAATCAAATAATTTTTGTGAAGAAAAAAAAGTGGTAAAAAAAGCCATTTTTCATAGAAATGAACGAAAATGTTTATTTGTCTGCACGCCCACAAAAACTTTTGGCACACAAGCACTCGCCAAAGTTTTTGCGGACGAGCGCAAAAAGACTTGCGCGAGTGCTTATTTATATATTTATATATATATATATATATATATATATATATATATATATATATATATATATATATATATATATATATATATATATATATATATATATATATATATATATATATATATATATATATATATATATATATAGTCTTGCATGGTAGTCACAAAGTTTTACCCATAAACTGTTGTTTTAAAGAGCGCAATAATAAACCTGACCAGAAAATGCTAAAAAACTTCATAAACAATTAAAATGATAGACTGCCTGCCCAAACCAAACCCTCAGTCGATGTAGCAGCACTCCCTTGCGAGTCAGGCTATTTGTCAGTCGATGTAGCAGCACTCCCTTGCGAGTCAGGCTATTTGTCAGTCGATATAGCAGCACTCCATTACGAGTCAGGCTATTTGTCAGTCGATGTAGCAGCACTCCGTTACGAGTCAGGCTATAAGATAGTCGATGTAGCAACACTTACGCATGTTTTAAAAATGTTTTTTAATAAAACAAAAACAAAAACACCATTAACTAAAAAAAACTTTCTAGTCATTATTATTGCAGTTTTTTTAAAAAACGATAAAATTTAATGTACTTCTGCATTAATTTAATTGCTTTGACATTTCAATGACAATCAAATACAGCTTAAGAGATGAGGTAATAAAAATTGTAGTCGAAAGAGACTTTTTTTACCATAAAAGTCTCTTTCGACTACACTATAAGGATATATATATATATATATATATATATATATATATATATATATATATATATATATATATATATATATATATATATATATATATATATATATATATATTAGGGTGACAAATAAATGCATTAAAAATTTTTTTTTACCTCATGTTCTCAACCTTTTATTTGGTTCCATTTAATGAAAAAAATGATATTAGAAATTTTTGGATACAATCTGTTGATGTTTAGGGGTTGATCAGCCCAGTGTTTTTATTTTGCAAGGTTGCTCGAACATATATTTTTCATATTTTATCATTTATCTCTTCCATTTTACTTTGAGAATAATATCAATATTTTATTATTTGTTAATCGTATTAGTAACCGCATAATACATATTGTTATTTCAGAGAATTAATATGTTAAAAATAAAATTAGTTGGCTGGCATTTAGAATACCTAGTGTAATATTTCATCATCCAGATAAGTTATTACATCAGTATTGCACTACTGCTGAAATTATTGCATCATCCTGAAATTACAAATGAAATCATTGTCTTGAATAAAAACGCATTTTTAAAACACATTATTAGACAGATGTTTTCGAATTTGATTTAAAATAAATGGAGACTAGAAGTCAAAATGAAATATGGTGTATTGGTCAAGCTACAGCTTTGATCTCAGGGCACAAGTTGCCATCTAAAAGACAAATCTTACATTTTTTTTTTCCTTTAAAAACAAAATTGGAATTCTAGCTCTTTGCCAAAAGTCTAGATCAGGCTCTAGACTTTTGGGAAAGAGCTAGACTTCCAACAAAACAATGTTATCATGTTATAACACATGTTAAAAAACTTGTTGAGAAATACTAAAAGCTGAAAAAGAATAAAGACTTTAAAACAGAAACTCAACCAAAAAATTAAGAAACTCTTTTTTAAGAAATTAAAGAACTATTTGAAATTGCTCATAAAGATTCTTTAAAATAAATCACAATAGAAGAAGACAAGATGTTTTTTATACTGCAAAGAGAAATAAGAATAGACTACATGAATTCAGTTGATTGTGATTTATACAAACGAAAACAGTGAGTTTTAGACAGACAAAAAAAAAAAGAAAACAACAAGAGAGACAAAAGAGCTAAAAAGAAGAGAAGAAGGAAAATGTTGGACAGTCAGATTTAGTTTTGAAAGAATCAGACTCTCAGGGTACTGATAATGAACTAGATGACTTCATTCCATCGTCTGCAAAGAAACTGAAACTAAAAACCAGAAAAAAAACAAGTGATTACGTCAGTATTTTGTTCAGCTCTTGATCATTTGAAAGTTCCCAATCATTCTGGTTCTTTGATCATTTGAAAGTTCCCAATCATTCTGGTTATTTGATTTTGTCTACAGTTTTTCAAGGTTATGTGCCAATATTGAACATATCTCTATATCACACAAATCTCTTTCATGTGCATGTATTTGTAAAGAAGTTGCGAAAAAAATTATTTCAGAATTCAAACCACAGGTTCCACTAACTGTTCATTGGCACAGAAAACTGTTACCCTATTTGAAAAGCAGAGATAAAGTGGATCAACTGCCCATATTATGGACAGGACATGATGTCAAAAAACTGTTGTCAGTCACAAAACTGGATAAAGGCGTAAAAATTAGTTATGCAACAGAGCAAGCTTTAAAAGATTTCATATGATAAAATTGTGACACTCTGTTTTGATACTACTACAAGCAACACTTTCTTGTGCTTGAAGTATACATTCAGGTGCTTGAACCTTGCTGGAAAAATTAATTGGGAAGTCTTTATTATACACAGCCTGTCAACACCATGTTCATGAAGTGATTTTATCCCATGTTTACAAAACTTGTTTTGGACCATCTTATAGTCCAGAAGTTAAGTTGTTTTAACGATTTTGTGATCAGTGGAGTAAACTTAATTCTGAATTATCCCTACGGCATTTTTTTTTTAAAGTTACGTTCTAAATGTCTTTTAAACGTTTTTTAAACGTCTTTTAAACATTCTTGTCATAAGAACGTTTAGAAGACGTTTAAAAGACATTTAAAATACATTTAGAATGTAACTTTTAAAATCAAATGCCCGTAGGGATGGGTCTTAAGTGATGCATATCTCAAAGTCTATGGTTTGCTTGTACCATCAGTAGTAAAATTTGCTGTAAATATGCTGCAAGGAACAAAACAATCTTGTGGCGATTACAAAGAATTTTTGAAACTGCCGAAAACTTTTTTAAGAAAAACTCCTCCAGGTCAAAGTGGAATAACTTTTTTTACTTCTGGTGCTATGCACCAAACATAATGGATAGCAAAAGCACTGTTAAAAACTACTATTAAAAATTCTATTATTTAATTTAACAAAAAATGAAGAGAAGAATCTTCTACGGTTTTGATATTTTTAATTTTAATTGACATGAAACATTGGTTTCGGGCTCCCATCTTTTTTATCTGCTCCTCACAATGATCTGATGCTTGTTAAGAAATTGAATAATTTCAAAATATTTGACAAATAAGTGGTTGAATCTGCCATAAAAGCCATTGCAGGACATTTTTGGTATTTAACTGAAGACCTTGTGAGTCTCTTTTTACAGCAACAATGTTGATAACCAAAAAAAAAAAAAATTGAAAAGCCAGCCAAAAAAACAAAGGTAAAAAATCTTGAATGTAAAAGTTTAATGTATAAAATTGTAAGCATGAACTTAGATGAGTTTGTAAAAAAGAGCTCAAAATATATATTTGAAGTGCTCTGAATAAATTGGACATTTATGAAGGAACATTGCCCAGACACATGAAGCATAATAACCAAATACCAAGAAGCACATAAAATTTTTAAGGAACAATTGTCTATAAAAGTTGTGAATAACATAGCTGAAAAAGAGGTGAAACTTGTTTCAGATAACACAAAAAAAAAAAAAAAAAAAAAAGATAAAACTCAATTACAATATGTTATACAAACTGTAGAAGAACAACGATGTTAACTTTTCAGATATCCGAAAGTCTACAATTGTAAATGCATTACTGAAAACAAGTCAACAATCAACATAATTTGAATAAAATAATAAAAACTTTCTTTTAAAAAAAATTAAAATATATTTGTTTTTATTCTCCGTTGACCTTTAAATCTCATATTATCAAGTTCATTGAGCAACCCCTAGGTATAAAAATATCTTAATAATATTTTGCACAGTTTATTTTTTAGCTAAAAGGAACAAAATAAAGGGTTGAGAGTCTGATTTCTTTGATTTTAGCCCTCGGAATTTTCTCCATTATTCATATTTTCAGGACTTGCATAGTTTATAAATAAATAATTATAGTTTACATGACTCGCATAAATAAATAATTATAGTTTACATGACTCGCATAATTTATAGTTTTTTCTTCTATTAACTATTTTCTTACTCTTTAACTCTTTTCTTTGTTTTGTCTCTCTAGTGTATCGTTTGTCTAGTCTAGTCTAGTCACTCTCTAGTGTATCGTTTGAATTTAGAGTTTTTTACTCTTTTATCATATGTAAAATTGGCACCACTGGTTTTTTAAATAAAACTTCTCAATATGACAAGCTTCTGGCATGTTTGATAGATTTATGTCTTTTGCAAATTCTTAATGCTTGTAATAATTTGTGACTGATTAACTGATTAATGGTGTGAATCAGGTCAAACACATTTTTACCATCAATCTGATGTTCCACTTGATTATACACTTATTGAGGCACACTTAAAAACTATTTGCTAATTTTATTTACTTTGCTGTTATTTAAAAATATCAGTACAGCAAATCAATATTAGATTTTTTTTTTTAATTGTTATTTTTTAATGTTATAGTAATATTTGTATCTAATAATAATATTATTTAAACTTTTTTTTCTAATTTTTTACTTATAAATAATTTTTTTTTTAATTTTTAGGCAAAATCAAGTGATATTTTTAGATGATAAGAAAATATATTGCAACGCACATAGCAATAAAGCAAATAAAAATGTAATTTTTTTTTCTTCTTAGATTTTGTTGTTCTGTGTATACTCTTTTTTATGTATTATAGGTATAATATAATAGCATAAATTAACATAACAAGTATAAATTACATTAAATGCATTTCTATATTATACATACAACCCTTGGAATTAGGAAAAATGAGGTTGGCAATAATTTGCCGACTTCATTCTTTTAGAGGTCGGCATCAAGTCGGCAAAACAATTTGATAAAAAGGTCTTACCATAAAACATTGAAACAAGGTCAGCAATTTTTTGCCGACCTCAAAAACTTTTAAATTGGCGTTGCCGAATGCTGGCCCTAATTCCAAGGGTTGTACATATATTACACACATATATATTTCCAACACATATTTTGCGCTCACGTATACATATATTTCTCAAATCAATTGATATAGCACAAGGTAGGATTCTATAAAAAAAGTGGCTACACATAAATTTAAGGCAATTTTCTAGTTTTTGCATTTATGAAGATTCAAATATGTTTAAGGTAATAAACCTGTACTCAATTAATATCGGAAGATTATGCACTTCTAATTCTGAAAAACTAAGTTTTTGATAAATATTATCTTGATTGGTTAACAGTTGTTGATAATCTGATGTGTCTATAATAACATATAGTTCTGTTTTTTTTAGCTGTCAATCTGAATCTCAAAGTAAATAAATTAAATAACTATATAATAAATAATCAAAAATTTATTTTTGATTATTTATTATATAGTTATTTAAAAAATTAAGATTTAAAAATTACAAAAAAAAACATTTTTTTTCTAGTTAATTTTAAGAGAAGATCAATTTGTTGTTTCAAGAAGAGTTTTAGTTGATCTTGCTCGGTTCAAGTCATTGAAAAGAGTCCAGAGAGGAATTGATCCTAAAGATATAAAAGTTTATTGTGGAGGATTCTCCTTGCATAATCTCGGTTCTCTATCAGATCAATCTGATTTGCAGAGAGTGTTGGTACCAGTTAGCTACAAGTACTTTGTTTTTCATTTTTTTATTCTAATTTTCCTTTTTTTGATTTAAACTAATAATATTCTTGTATAATATCAAGTTATTATTTTCATATCAAAATTATATAAATACTTAATATTTATTTTTGTTGAGTTTATGACTATATTTTAGTACATTTTGTTAATCATCATAGTACTTGGCTAATATAATAGTATTATTTTATTGGCTAATATAATAGTATTATTTTATTGGCTAATACAATAGTATTATTTTATTGGCTAATATAATAGTATTATTTTATTGGCTAATATAATAGTATTATTTTATTGGCTAATATAATAGTATTATTTTATTGGTTAATATAATAGTATTATTTTATTGGCTAATATAATAGTATTATTTTATTGGCTAATATAATAGTATTATTTTATTGGCTAATATAATAGTATTATTTTATTGGCTAATATAATAGTATTATTTTATTGGCTAATATAATAGTATTATTTATGACTTAAAGAGTAAGAAGTCATAAAAGTTAAAAAAGTTCTTCAATTTAAGATATTAGTTATATTTATAGCTTAAATGTTGCAGCAGGAGCTACAATATGTTGCAGGAGCTACAATATGTTGCAGTTGAAACTGTTGCATTACAGTTAGACAACTACAACTACAAGTTAAAAAATGCTTTAGAGCAATAATCTTCTTACTAGAAGCATAAAAGGCTTTATTATTGTTCACTTTTCCTAAACTTTCTCTTATTTCTGTATTAAATTTAAATATAGTGTAATCACAATTTTGCTCTTTCAATCAATTTTAGAGTAACAAAGATATTCTGGAGCACGACTAACCCCAAGCATCGTTGCAAGTACACTTGTGAAGTACACAGTTTAAATAATCCAACAGAAAAATTTGTAAAAACTGATTCTAATATTTTTAAAGATGATAATATGACATTTTATCACGATAATGCAGAGTGGCAATATTTGAAGAAATATTGTTGTTGTGGTACCAACTTTAATGATAATGAATTTCTCACAGGTTTTCTTCATAAGGAAAACTGTGTTTTAAAAAAGTATTATAAATATTACACTCAAGAAGAATTACTTAGTTGTTTAAAAAAAACTCTTGAATTACCTATTACAAAACTTTACACTCACAAAGATCACAATTTTTACTCAATTACAAATCCTCAGACACAAGAATCCTTCAAAGAATCTTACAATCCTTCAGAGCAGACACAAGAACATAATGAACAACAAAACATCTATCCTTGTATAAAAGATTCTTATGTTCAAGAACATATATCACCAACTCATCTTCTGTACCAATCGGGCTCAAGTTCATCATCTTTTTGTATATCTTCTTCTGATTTTATTTCTGATTTATCCTCTACATCTACACTATCAGCAACATCACCAATGTTTTTTCAAAATGACTGTTATAGTTGTGGTGAAGAAACTTTGTTAATTCCTAAAAATGAATCTCTTGAAACAACAGACTATACATCAATTAAAAACCAAAGTTTATCAAGGCAGATTTCTGAAGAAATAGAACGAAGAATTCATCAAACCTCGTTAAACGAAAAGACTTCAATAGAATATAATTTTTTTCAAAAATCTGATACTGCTACTAAACATTTTTTTAATAATTCCACTAATTCCTATATATCTTCTACATTACCACCTTATTTAATAGAAAGTAATATTAATACAAATCTTCTAGACATAAACAATCTCAATAAAAATAACTATGCTTTAAAATGTGATGTTTCTTTGTGTGAATCATTTCTATATGATCAAAATATAGTCAATAAGCTAAATAATGAAGATTTGAAAACATATGATGCTTTGTTGCATCATTTACATGAACATACTCCAGCATATACAGGTATTGAAAAATGTATTGAAAAAAGTTCTACTATTGACGATGCTTCAGAACATAATAGTAGTTTTAATTGCTTTTCTGTAACAGAGAGGTTACAGCATGCTGAGTATGAAAATAACAAAATTCAAAAAATTAATACTAACAAAAGTTCCAAATCAAATTGTTATGAATACTCGCAAATCTATTTTTCTGATTCGCCCCAATTGCAGCAAAGTTGTATCTCAGTTTCATTGCAGAAAGATTGTGTACCAGCTTTGTCTTCATTGCAACAAGTTAAACATAAAAAAAGAATTAAAATGGCAGCTGACATCGAGGTAAGTCCAAAAAAGCAAATCTTGTCTTGTATTCCTAAAGGTTTCAACTATCATGAAGAAAGATTTGTTGATAATCTAGTAGTTTGTAATGATGGTATGCTATCTCAACCAACAGATTACAACCCAGAAATTATTAAAGAAACAAATGCCTCTTTAACTCACGCAGTCAGTATTCCTCTGAGGTTTACTGAGATGAAGGATCGAAAAGAAAGCAGTACAACTAAACAAAAAGACATTCAAAAATGTTATAAAAGGAATTACAGAGAAGCCTTAAAAAAGCTACTAGACAATAAAAAGTATGAAAAAATAAGAAAATCAAAAACACAGTTGATGTTTGTTTTGAAGAATGAGGAAGGGTGGTTTAAAGAGAGTAATTCCTTAGAAGGTAAATGTTTTTTTAATAGTTCTAGAAGGTAACATTTTTTTGATATATCTTAGTGTTAGTTTGATAAAACTTAATTTGGAAAAGATATCCTAGTTAAAGAGTATATATTTTGTACATTTTAAAATAGTAGAGATAAATTTGTATGTAGATCCATTGTGTGATACACTAGCTATAGTTCTTATTTTATTGATAAACAAAAGATTGGGTAAAAACTGGTTTACAAATAAGTTTTTATAAATTAAAAATTCAAGTAACATGTACCACAATTCAAAGAACTTGAAAAAAATTGTACTGAAAAATTATAAATAATTAAATTAAATAATTAACAATTATTTAATTGAATAAATAATTAACAATAAAATTTATGATATATAATATTAAAAGTTTTTTAAAAAACAATCAAACAAAAACTATATAGCAGTCTTGGTCAGGAAGGTGTGCGACCACACATCTTTATATGACCACACAAATAATATTTTGTTTTGACAATTTGACCATGGCTTTTTATATATCAAAAACGTGCTTAATGTGGGTTAAAAATAACACCAAAACTTTTATTTTTACAAATGTTTTTTTATTAGCAAAACATTTTTAAATTAAGTAACAAATTATTAATAATGATTTTTGTATCAATGAAAGATATTTTATTTTTCGTTTTATATAAATTATTTAAGTATGCATTTTTAATAATAAATGTTATTAAAAAAAATAATTTTGTTTTTATAAGCAAAATATTTTAAATAAATTTATTTTGATTTAATAAACAACTTTTTTAGACAACGACTGTCTTTTTAATGAACTTTATAAAAGAATCATTAATGTTAATTAAATTTAATTATTTTATAAACAACTACTGTAAACAAAAAATGATCAAAGTTAAATTATCATTTTATTTTTTTTAAATGCATAAGTATTTATCCTGTATTTGTATGGAAACTTACTATTTTTAGATTAATAAAAAAAAAAACTTTTTCAATTAAATAACAATTTTAATTTTTTTTTTTTTTATCAATTCACCTCCTCAAGGCTCAAGGCCACTACAGGCGAGGAGGCTACTTATTTGTGGTTATAACCCTCTTTCAAATCTATAACTCTGAAACACGAACCTTGACAAACAAGGGCGCTGCGCGGAGAAACGAGTTGAGCGCGGTACTGCCAGGGATGTGGTGGGGATCAAATTCGGAACATCTTGCTTATGAAGTGAGCGCTCTATCACTACACCACTACCGCTATACCATTAATATTACTGCAATTAAAACATTTTTAAACAATCGTTCAAACAATCAAAGTTGTTACTTTATTTATGTGAGTTATGTTTCAATAATGTTATAAAAACGCTTGTAAATATAAAAAATTTTTTTATTCCAGCTTGATTAAAATAATCTTAGTGTTTTTAGGGTTTTTTTCTGTTATTTATTTGTTTATTTTTTGTTTGTTTTATTTCTAGTGAATTTTTATTTTCTCTTTCATCTAGTCTAGATAAATTTTTTTAGCGCATTTTTTAAATATTCAAGTTTTCAAAACATGTTAACAGATGTGGTCAAATTGTCAAAACGAAGCATTGTTTGCATGGTCATATAAAGGCATACGACAGCATGCCTTCCTGACCAAGACTGGTATTGTCATATATTGATAGTTGAACAATAATATCATAAACACTTAAAACTATATTTAAAAATATATATTCTGTATAATATAAAGTATATATGCTGTAATAACTATTTTTAGTAATACCAAAACATAAAAGCTTAATTTCAAATTATTCAAATAATAATCAGATCTTTTTGTGTAGTGAAGTTGTCCACATATGTATCCAATATACAAAATAGTATTTATTGTGATATCATTAAGGCTTGTCCTTGTTTTGGTACATATTATGAAAAATATTTTGATAACATAACCAAAAAATACTTTTTTTGGTTTTGTAGTCAACAGATGGTTGATTACCAGGGTTGAATATTTTTCACAATTTTTGAAGTTTCATTTAAATTTATTCACTTTGTTTTTTAATAGCAATATGCAACAATTCACTCATTGATAATGTCTTCAATGTCTCCAGCTACATAATCATTCAACATTTATAATGCCAATCAGAAACAATAATTTTAGTTATTTTAATATGAGTAGTTTGTAGTTATCATTTAGATGGATGTTCCTAAATTAAAGTTATGCAAAAGGTTTATCAGAAAGTCAAAAAAGAATCGTCAATTTGACATCTGTAAATTGTCTGAAAGGCTTGTATGATGCTTGAATTTGACATCTGTAAATTATCTGAAAGGCTTGTATGATGCTTGAATTTGCAAAATTAATTCATGTTTTAACTCTTTACATAATAGTTTGTTTTTTTTGTTTTTTTTTTGTTCATCATTTCAATTCATTAGAGTAGTATTCTGTGCAGGCAATTCAGTAATATACAATCAACTGCACCTAAAGCTTCTTTATTCACATAAAGCTTACACAATACCACAACGAGCAACTTGATTGTAGTAAACTGTACCTAGTATTGTTAAGCCTGTCAAATTTTGTATGAGTCCAAAATAAACAAACATTACATTGAGTTGAGTGGCAACTTTGACTAGCTTTTTTTTTTTTTTACACAAATGACAATTTAAAGCCATAGTAGAACAGCAATATTAAAGAGAATATTCACCAAAGCTTTTTTACCTAAACTATATTTCACCTAAATTTAACAGGTAGCAACATACCTATTACAGTAATAACAAAACTAATTTTATTTCCTGCATAAGAAATATCAATATATAAATGAATGATATATGCACATGGAAGGATAGAATTGTTCATTGATATCTAACAGGCTATTTGATCTTGTCTTCCAAAATAATTCAGATTTCTTTCCTAAATTTAGTTGTTATTTGTTTTTGAAGAGCAGAAAAAATAAAATAGGTTTATCATTCACTTTTTTTTAATAACTGGTTAACATTTGTTAACCAGTTATTAAAAAACACTATTTCTAACTTTGTTAGAAACTGTATTTTTAACACCTGAGTCATATTTTTATTAAGCTGAATGTTATATGGGCTTAATTATTATTTTAAGATGTTCATAATAATATTGAAATAATTTTTTAAAATTAGTATGCTATCAGTATAGTTTTTTGTTGTTGTTGTTTTTTACTAGAAATATTAGTAGTTTTGTTAAAGTTTGTAAACTGGTTATCTGGTTATCACTAATCATTAAATGGTAATGAAAACCCTACTTGCAGTCTTTGCCAACTATAGATTTACTTTACAAATAGCCCAGCAATGGTTTTCAGATAAGTCTCTAATGCTATCATCACCAAATGCAAAATCAGTAATATCAATGTCAATATCAATTGTATTATTACCAAATGCAAAATCAGTGCACTTGTTATCTCCTCGAAATGCTAAACAATTACATATTAAAAATCTAACAACATAAACAAGCACTCAATATACATACTGTGTAAAGGCAATTCTTCAACCAACATTTTTTTCTTTTTTGTCCTGATGTCAGACTATACTGTAAAAACTATTTTGAATAAGCGAATTGTTCAAGCCCAAATAATAATAAAAAGCCCAAGTACTAACAAAAGTTTAAAAATTATTAAATTTGGAAATTATTTTGAAAATGATTTCTTTTGAATATGATTAAATAAGTTCTTTATTCTAAAGCTACATGAATAATAGCAGTCTTCAAAATCTACATTCGGCTATGTTGACATCAAAAGCTACATGAATAATAGCAGTCTTCAAAATCTACATTCGGCTATGTTGACATCAAAACCGATTTATCTTAAATTGTGCATACCAATGTCTACTTGAATTTGTAAAAATGGTAGTATGCAAAAAATATATATAAATTAAAATATTTAAATTTAAATATTTTAATTTGTATTAAGTTTTTACAATTATTAGTTTTGTTGAAGTTGAACAAACAAACAAAAAAGTATATTGAAAACAAACATTGTATTGTTGTTATGTTTTAAAATCTTTTTTTTTTTTAATTTTTATTTTATTATTGTATTGTTGTTATGTTTTAAAAAAAAAAAAAAATTATTTAATTATTTATTACTATTTTGTTATTAAGATAAAAAAAAGTTTAAAATTAAAATTTTGAGTTGTAACAGTTAATTGGCAGCAAATTATTTATTTCCGTTGCATTGAAATAAAATTAAATAATCACAGTGTAATTAAATTTAGGAGCGTGGAAAATAACAGCCAGTCAACAGCCAACGACCGCCTGAAATGATTAAAATTATTATTTTGATGTCCCAAAATGAATTCTTGCCAGTTTGACTGGTTCAAAAAAAAATTAGTTTTGAAAAATGTGTTACAAATAATCATGATGAAAAATCGTATTCTAAAATCATATATGAATTTTCATAAAATCATTTAAATTTTAAATAAGCATTTATGTATAATAGTTTTATTGTTAATGACTTGCTACACTATTTTGATTCATTGACAAATCTATTTTGTTGTAAGTTATATCTTCTTTTTTTTTCTTTTTTTTTTGCTTCACTTATTTTAATTACTTTCATTTTATTGATGATTAAAAACCTTTTCATGAATGATTGAAGCTCGTATTTTATTGTTTTAATAAAAATATTTAATATATTATTTTTATATTTATATAAAAATATATAATAATTGCTAAAAGTTAAATACAACTGAGAACATTTTTTCTTTTAAATGTACTTAGTTACTATTTTTTATTTTTCTTCATATCTATTAATTTTTTTGTTTTTCCTTCAAATGTAAATAAATAAATGAATAATTTATAGGTAAATTTAAAAGTTAAATTAAAGTTTTAAATTAAATTTAAATTTTTATAAATTTGAAGTTTTCTATATTAGGATTCTTAAAAATATATGTTTAGTAAAATCTGGTTTTATGTAACATTAGTAATTTTTGTAGTAGCGTTTCATAAATAAAAATTTGTTTTGATTATTAAAATTACTTGGATATTTAAAGTTACTTCTTTTTTTAATTGAATGAAACGTGTGCAAGCGTAGTTTTAAACGAATATGTGTGCAAGCGTAGTTTTAAACAAATTATTATTGTAAAAAGAGTTTGTTAATTTTTAAGCATTAAGTTATTTTTGTGATGAAAATTTAAACATTAAAAATGATAAAAAATTTTGACTGTCAATTTCATGAGTTAGCCGGTCAAAATTACCGCTCGCTTTCAATTTCTGATTTAGATAAAGTGTATTTATATTTATCTTTATAAATTTCTTATTTTTTTTTTGGAATGCAGTTTCTTTTTTGCCATACTAAATTATGGAAAGAAAAAAAAACTGAATTCTGAAAAAAAAAAAATTTTTTTAACTCAATGTTTCAAAAAAAATTACCTGTTTTATTTCAGTTATTGAGAAGAAAAAATTAGATTAGTTCATAATAATCTATTAATAGTTTATTATGAACTAATTTTTAATAAAAAATATTGAATTTAAAAAATAATAAACTATTAATAGTTTATTATGAACTAATCTAATTTTTTCTTCTCTATAACTGAAATAAATCATTAGGTAATTTTTTTAAACATATCGAGTTTAAAAAAAATAATGAAGTTAAAAGAAAAAAGAAATAGAATATCTATTTAAAAAAGTTTTATGTATCCTGTAAAATTGCCTAAGTTTGGTCATTTAAGCTTTGAACATTTATTTATCATGCATAAATAAAAAAATTTCAATTTTTTTTCCTGAAACATACAAAAAATTATATTTATAATTGATATTGTAAAAATAGAAAAATGAAAAATAAAAACTAGTACTCAATATTTAATTTAAAATGAAAACATCTACTTTGACCAAACCTTCAACACCATATCAAACATCTACTTTGACCAAACTTTCAATACCATCTCATAAGTTTGGTCGCTATATAAATACTAATAACGTATCAAAAACTTAACGTCAAAAATAATGAAATAACACAACAATTAAAAACTAATTTTTAAATGTTGTGTTATTGTAAAATTATAATATAAGTTCAGGTAATACCAGTAACTAAAGGGACATCGTTCCAGGGTCAAAAAAAAAAATCTTTTGGGCCACCAAAGAAAACAAGAAGGAGAAAAAAAGGCTTTTTAAATATAAGTAGTAGTATTTTTAATATTTATTTTAATTTGTCAACTATTTCTTTGGCTATTATCACATTTGCTACGCCACTGGTAAAAAAAATTAAAAAATATTTTTCAATTAATTTAAAATGCTTTAAATGAGCTTTGTATGTTTATTGACAATTTTTTGCACATATCGTTGACCATAGTAGAACAGTGAGGTCCACAGAACCAATCGTCACAGGATTTGCAACACATCCATAATTGTCATTGAGCTGTAATTTTATCTCCAAAAAAAAATGTCACAAGCTTGATATTTTTAAAAACTCAAAGAACCGTCAGTTAGTTTTGAAATTATGAACTAATTTGTTATTCAAATAAAATACCATGGTGTATATCCATCATAAAAATGTCAAAATTAACTGGTAAATTTACAAGTTAAGTTCCCGGTTAATTTATACATTTGCAACACTTATCAAAATTTCACAATATTACTGCTAATTGTCTCCTTCGTTGTTTAACTGTAAATGAAATTTTGAAATACTCACCAAAGTGAGTATTCCAAAATTTCACTAATTTTTATAAAAAAAGTAGTTAATTTTTAAAATTTTTTTTTGTAAATATAATTAATTTGGTGATTCTTAATAATACTAAAATTAAATTTGATCGTTTATTTTAACAATTTGCTGATTTAGATTTTAATATTTTCGAACTGTTGTTTTGCTAAAGTATTATTTCAGAAGGTTGCATTTAAACCTTTTTTATTTTTTATATATTTATATTTACAAACTAATTACAAAGATTTGTGAAAAAATAGTTTGTAAAATTTGAATTTTGCATACTTTTTTTATATAATTTTTTAAAAGACCGAACCGACCGAACCGACCGAAGTTACTGTCACCTAGTAACTTCGGTCATTTAAAACCATGAAACTTCGGTCATGTAATTTAGGCAATTTTATGGTATATTTAAAAAAAATGTTCTGTTTAAAAAAGAAAAGTTTGATGCTTATTATTGCTAATTATTATTGATTTTCTTTTAATTTTGTTTAAATTATTTCAAACTATAAATTTTATTATTTTTTGAAAAAGTGGTCTAGATTATAGGATATAACTTTGTATTCTTAGCAATTCATAAATTTATAATTTTTTTTTTTTTTTTACTTTAGAGATTTGGAAAGAGTTACTTTTTGAAATTAATGATAAAAGACTGGACTTTGACATACCCCCAATTAATATTGAATGTAGGTATTAATAAGTATTTTGAACACAATTAATATGGAATGTAGGTATTAATAAATATTTTGAACACAATTAATATTGAATGTAGGTATTAATAAATATTTTGAACACAATATTATGTGACTTTCGTTTTTGTTTTTAATGTGGGAAAAGTTGTTTTAAAAGTTTTAAAGCTTTACTTTTCTTATGAATGGCACTAGGAAATGCGGTGTTACAATTTTTATATTTTTGCTTGTTTTGATATTTTTACAGAATACTTTTTGGATGTATTTAACTAATTTTTTGAAAACATTGTTTTTACTAATATTTTGTGTGTGTGTGTATGTGTGAAAACATCCATAATTTTTAATTAGCTACTGATCCATATGACTTCATTGGAATCTCTAAAGACTTTATTTGTTACCTTGTGGAACAACTATCAGGTGGGCACAAATGTCGCACATACAAGTTCCAATATCATCTACCATGTGTGGGAAAAGAAGATCAGGTAGGACTTTTAGTATTTATGTGTATTTTATTTTTTCATTTTTTCATTTTTCACTTTTGAATTTATTCTTTTCATTGTTTAAGAAAACATCAATGAATCCAACTGGTTGTGCAAGATCTGAAATTTTTTTCAGGTTTTTTTTCTTTATTTTTTTTAATTTGCGCAATTGCTCATTTTGCTTAGTTACATAAGTCGTTATATAACAGTAATATATCACTTATTGTAAAAATATAAGTTATATTCATTATTTCAGCAAAGCTGAAAAGGATATGTTTGCTTGGCTTGCTTCTCCCTACCGTAAACCACCTAAATCTTGTGCTAATGATACTGAAGAAGATGTAGTGTTTGGTCCACAAGAGTTACCCGTTGCTATGAAGTATAGATTATTAAAGAATTTAGCAAAAGATAATGTTGGTGTTTATAGGCGAGTAATCTTTGTTTATTCATATTTTATTTACCAACTAATTACAAATTTTTAAATGTTTTTTTTTTTTTTTTGTATATAAGTATAATTTTTTTTAAATCATTATATCCACATTATCTATTTCTTTATCGACTAATTAACTCTGAACTTTAAAGTTTGGTAAAGAACAAAGGAATGTTAACCACTGATAAATAATACAGCAGTTGTAGAACTAATATAAGAACTAATGGTAGTTAATAGATAAATCATCAGACAAAAAAGTCTAAAGGATTTTTATATACATTTTTATAGTCAATTAAATAGCCTCTGTAATACTACTTTTTGTATTATCTTAGATCTAAGATTCAGGGAAGAGGGTTGTTTTGCAAGAAGACTATTGAAGCAGGGGAAATGATAATAGAATACAGTGGTGAAAAAATTCGCTCCTCTCTCACTGATCGGCGTGAAAAGTACTATGAAAAAAAGGTTTTTAATTTTTTAAACATTATTCAATAATATTTTTTTTTATATATATATATAATAGTAATTAATGATGAAATATAATAAAATTTTTGAATTTTAAATGTTTTTTTAAATGAAAGTTGAATTAAACAGCAATAAAACAACATTGAAAGATATACACACTCTTATTTGAAACAGTGCGATGTTTGTTACTTTTTTATGAAATGGTGTGATATTTGTTTAATATAGGGTTATGGTTGCTATATGTTTCGAATTGACGATACTGACGTTGTTGATGCGACTACAAAAGGAAATGCTGCTCGGTTTATCAATCATTCTTGCGAGGTTATTTTTTTAAAGTTTAACATTTATGGTTCCACTATTACTATTGTTTGGGCCAGTTTTTTTAATGCTGTTTTTTTAATGCTGTTTTTTTAATTTAATAAACATTAAGGAAGAATTGAACTAGGTGTCTTTCCAATGGTAACCAGGTAGTCTGTTTTATAGATAAGGACTGAGAGAATTTTTTGTGGTGCAAATACTAGGAAGATATCCAACTTAGGTTTTCTTCTCCTACCCTTTCCCTATAATAATATTTTTCTTTTCTTAATTGTTTTCATACTGCTAAAGAAAAAAGTTTTAAGAAATAAAATTTGTATAGGTATAACATACTAATATACTTTATAAGTTGACTTGATATCTTGAACTGGTTACTACATCACAATCTAAACCAATGGATCCTAGAGAATCACACTTCTTGTGATACTCTGGGATCTAATTTTTGCATTGTCAGCTTCTGTTATCTGCTAGTTTGATTTACTGATACCAGTTTTTTTTAAATAATTGACAACAATCTTTTTTGACACACCATTTTAAGAAGAAACTAAATCTTTTATTCTATGATGATAGAATTTTATGGCAGGGGCTCGTTTTTGTTGATATCCTTAATTCACAGGGACACAATTTTTTTGACAGTAATGAGCGTTAAGGCTTTATATTATGTTATGTCTTGATCCTTGTGCTGGAAGGAGAGAATGTCTGGAGAGGAAGAATTAGGATGGTCAATTTTACCAGTGCCTCCCAAACCAAATGTACCATTTATCGCAAAAGAAATGTTCCAAAGGAAAAAAGAGTAAACTAACAGAAATGGCACTAGGTAATGCAACGGAAAAAAAATTACCCACATATGCAATTGGAAAATAACAAATCCCATGATATTTTAAGCATATAAAATTCTGTTGCACATATCGGAGATTGGAGACCTTTTTAGAGAATGAGTAAAGAAACTTGACTCTTTTTTGTGCTCAGGACAGGAAAGTTGCACTCCTGGTGGATAACTGTCTTGCTTATCCATACATTGAAGTGCTAAGCAACGTGACAACAACAACAACCTTTCCACTAATTATCTTAATTCTCCCCCTCACATCTATCCTCTCGCCCATGGATCAAGATGTATAATACAAAGCCTTAAAGCTTATGACTGTCAAAAATGTGCTGAAAAAAAAGTTTGAGGTATACAAATATTCGAGTAATTATTCAAGATATTGATAGTCAACTGTAATAGTTTATATAAAAATATTTTTATCTTATATTTTATGTTTCATTTTGTTATATCTTTATTTCATTTTCAGCCAAATTGCTTTTCACGTATCATATCTATAGATGGTTGCAAAAAAATAATTATTTATGCGCAAAAAAGGTTTCGTTTTTTTTATTGCATTTTTTTGATTGCTTAAAATTATATGTTTTTTGCAAAACTTTTATTCGAAAATCTAAATTTTAGTTAAATAAATTTTAAAACTTACAGTTACAGTTGGAGAATTAACATATGACTATAAATTTTTCTTCGAAATTCAAGTTTTAAATCAATAAATTTTTTCAAATTTAGAGTTACAGTTGGAGAAGAACTGACATATGATTATAAATTTGCTATAGAGGATGATAAATTACCGTGCTTTTGTGGTGCAAAAAAATGTCGAAAATACCTCAATTAAATTATTTAGGTAATTAAATCGCATATTTTTTATTTTGGTTTATTTAAGTAAATAGGTTTAAAAGTTAATTTTTTTATGCTGTTGCTTATTTGACATAATATGCCAGTCTAATTTATGTTCTTTAAAACTTTTTAAAAAAATCTAACTATTCCAATATAATTATGAAATAATGAAGTGTTCTGTTTGTGTCTATTATGAAATAATGAAATGTTCTGTTTGTGTCTATTATGAAATAATGAAATGTTCTGTTTGTGTCTATTATGAAATAATGAAATGTTCTGTTTGTGTCTATTATGAAATAATGAAGTGTTCTGTTTGTGTCTATTGTAAAATAATGAAGTGTTCTGTTTGTGTCTATTGTAAAACAATGAAGTGTTCTGTTTGTATTTTCTTCCCCCCTCCCGTTGTATAAGTGTTTAGTATTCCGACTTAAAGTTTTGTTACGAACTGAGATTTGTTTCTTTTATAAAATGCTAAAGATTAACTTTTTAATTTTTTCTTATGCTTGTAAAGACTGTCCGGAATGATAATGGCCCATTATGTTTCACTTAGATATAGTAACCATAGTGATTTTGATAATTTTTTTAATGGTTTAAAGCAAACTTTATTATATTTTTTTTCAAATAATACAAAAAATATATTATAAAAATAAATATATTTTTAAAAACTTGATTGTAAACAAAGAAAATGTATTTTCAAGTAAAAGTAAGAAAATTCATTTTGTACGAGTGGTTTAAAAATTGCAATGTTTTAATTAGTTTGTTTGCAAAAAATATATAAAGTTCAAAGAAAACTGTCGGTCGTATCATCAAATTGTAAAGTGAAGGTCGTGGATTCGAAAATAAGTTGAAAAACTAAGAAAGAGGTCCGTCAAGTTTAAAACTTCATCAAAAAGTTAATAGGTGGATCGATGCGAATTCAGAGTACTGCGTTCGGGATATCGAGATAAAACCAGATGTTCCTAAGTCAACAATCCAAGAAGTCATTAAGAAATATGACTACCTAATATGGCAAAAAAAAATTTCAAGGAAATCAAAAGTGCATTAAAACATTAAAATAGATGATGAAACTTTAAACTCGGTTGTTTAATGCTCTCAGGCAATTTTATACAATTCTGAAAGAAACGGAGCCTAGGGTTTTTCTAAAATGAATGAAAACCAAAAAACCTAGCAAGAAGTTTTTATTTGGAAAACCATCTGTTTGTGTAGTTTTAAAACTCAGCCATTTTTCACGAACGGAAACATAAACTCCAATGTTCACGTTAAAGATTGTTTAAAAAATTTTTTTCGCCTATGATTTAATTTTTTATAGCCCGTATTTTGGCCTGATCTTGCATCTTGCCATTTCTCAAAAAGTATAATCGTATTTTGGCCTGATCTTGTATCTTGCCATTTCTCAAAAAGTGTAATCGAATGGCATCAACAAAGTGCCGTTGATTTTGTCCCGAAAAACATGAATTTAGCAAACGTCCCATTTCAGCACAATCGTCTAATTGTAAAATTTTACGGCAAACATAAAAGTTAAGCTTTGTAAGAATGGCGAAATTGCGGTATCAATCGGTTCCGTTGACTTAGAGCATCACAAAATCTCATGAAAACTGTTTTCTAAAAACTTATGCGAGGTGTCCGCACTAAAATAAATGTTAAAATCAACTCGAAGATAATGCTTTCTAAAAACTTTATTGCATTTTAGAGATAAATTTGCTTTAAACTTTAAACCATTTAAAAAAGTTATCAAAGTGATTAAGTGGTTCTTAAAATGTTTCAAAAAACCCATGGGTCATTAAGTATGTAAGTATATGTTTATCCATATGTATAATGGTTTATTGATTTATTTTAGTTACGAGACATGAAAAATGGCTTTCGGAAAGATTATATTTTATATAAAAGTGAATTTTGAAATCTTTTGTGTATATTTGTTTTTATACTAAAGAATATTTTACAAAAACTTGAAATCAATTGCAAATTTTTTTTTGTTTCCGGAATTTGCTCGATAGTTATAGTAAAATTAAAATGTTTAATGAATATTGTACGACGACCACCACCTTAATGTTGTATTATACGACGACCACCACCTTAATGTTGTATTATACGACGACCACCACCTTAATGTTGTATTATATGACGACCACCACCTTAATGTTGTATTATACGACGACCACCACCTTAATGTTGTATTATACGACGACCACCACCTTAATGAATATTGTATTATAGTCGATTTCAAATTAGCGAATAAAATAAAGACCGTTTGCATTAAACTCATTATTATTTGTGACCATTATTATTGCATAAAATTAAATTCTTTTTATTCCTCCCAATAACAGTTTTTGAACTCGCATAAAATTTTTTGACATGTTTCATCAATATCAATTGACATTATCAGGTATAAAAAATTAGTCGCAATTTCTGTATATAAACAATTTTTTTGGCTACATTAAAAATTTAATAGTTTTTACAATATTTGCCACATTTTATAAAATACAAAAGGTGTGAATTAAATAATAATAACCCTTTAATAGTCCCACGTTTTTTTTAAAAATGGTCGCGATTAGTCCAGCTTTTTTTAAATTCATTGCGTTGTTTGTTTATTAATGTTAAAAATTGTTAAAAACAAAATGTTTTTTACTATTTTTAACATTAATAAAACACTACAAAATGTTATTACTCAAGTTTAAGAATATATAAATCATACTACATAAACATAAAATTTTAAAAATGCATTCACTAATATTTACTTTTTGTATGATAATTGTAAAAAGCATGGAGCTGCAAAAAGTCCTACATCACATTCTACATATTCATATCCTGAACCTTTTTGAATGTTGTGTTTGTAACATACCGCACGCCATCTTTGTAACATACCGCACACAATCTTTGAACATTAATCTTTTATTATCATTTTCAATAATTATTTATTAAATATATCTTTCCATTATTGATTCATCAAATGTATAAAATTCTGTCTTTTCGTGAGTAAATGTTTACTTTTTGATAATTATTATCAAAAAGTAAACATTTAATTTTTGATAATAATTATCAAAAATTTCAATTTAATTTTAAATATTGTCATGACACGTTTAAAAGACAATTATTAAAACAAAAGCTCTGTAATTATCTAGTAATAAGTTTGTAACAAGTAGTCGTATAATTACTGATGAACAAAAAGAGATGCACAAAACCGTAATATTACGGCATGGACAATTAATGAAATTAGTGTTAAGACCAAAACTAAAAATTGTAACTACTCGGTGTAGTTAAGTCGATTTACGAATTATTCGAAATCTTTTATTTTAATTTGGCATGATTTTATAAGCATATTACGTCCAAACAAAAGCTTTAAATAGGCACTTCAGTCACGTGACTTTTTCCGTGCGACAAGTTTATAACATAAGCATTAGAGAATTTTTCGGCAAGCTTTTCGGGAATTTTTTTCATGGTACCTAATTTCAAACCCAATTGCCAGTTATATTTCAGTGGCAAAAATTTCAAAAAAATATCGATCTGTGGAGATTATTCTTCAAAGTTTCTTAAAAAAGATGCTAGAAAATTTTTCAAGTGGTTTTCTTGATAATTTATTTAATTTACACTTTTTGACAAGTAAATAGACTGTTTTAAATTGCTTTTTTTGGGTTCTAGCACATCAAAAAAGATTATATTTTTTATATCTAGCTGTTTTAAATGCAGAATAGAGATTTGTATTTATGGTATCAAGGTTTAGAAAAAAAAAGACTTATCCTATGTGTGCACAGTTTTTAGACAACGATTTTCTTCCAAGTTTCAAATTAGCTATGAGTGATGATCATAAAGACATTTTTGCATTTAAAACTTTCGAATCTGGGGTTGCAAGACTGATACGTACTGCATGTAAAGCATTCCATAAACGAGGTAGGGATGAAGCTGGTGTGGCAGGATATTTTAATTCTTTTATCATTGGAAAAGTGAAGACAAATGTATGTTTGCTCCTTTTATTGGCAATAGGTTCAACATTTTGTTTTATAATAGGGCTGCACTGTATTATCATTCTGAACCTATTAAAGAATTTTTGTCTGAATGGCCAAATCCGAATAATTTATTTACAGGCAGTTAATGAAGATATATCAAATTTATTGTTTTTAGCAGAATCTCGTGCTTAATCAAACACCTGTATTTGATCCAAGATAATCAAACGCCTGTATTTGATTCAAGAGATATTAAAATACATAAAGATAAACTTTATAAAAACTTTTTGAGGAGATTAAAAATATAGAATTTGATGTCTTGGTGCAGCAGTCATTAGAAATAATTTCCCATGCGTTTTTAATAATTCTAGAAAGACAAGTAATTGATCAGCTTCCAGGAGGTAAATATTGGAACTCAGATAAAAGAATTTAAAAGGCTGCTGAAAATGTACCAACAACTAACAAAGCTTCAGAAAGTGATTTTGCGATTCTGGATTTACTTATTCGGACAAAGCCTAATGCTAAAATACAAACAATTCAAGCATATACAATGTGGTACAGAAACAAAACCTTAAATTGGTTGAATGCAAAGTCAGAAGAAGAGCGTTACATTTTTATTGAAAAAGCTTCTAATAGTGTTGAAAAAAATGAAGTTAATGTAAAAAGCGTCAAGTAGAGTTAATATCAAAGAAATCTTCTATTCTGATAGTAAAACAGCAACTCAAAGCAGATACAGAAAAGAAGGCATTCCTGAAAAAAGCAAATATTGTAAATGAGGTTGTTTAATTGAAATCAAAAGTTTGGCTAACAGCGGATGAAGCGAAAGATAAATCTTCAAAAATTTAAAATGATACTTTAAGGAAGCAAGTCATTAGAGTTCAATTAGACTTTTATCGTTATGTAATGATGGCAAAATGTTTGTTTAGGAGAGTTAATGGAGAACCTGTTGACTGTCATTTGTACCTGCAATTTGCCTCCGCTAGAAAAAACAACCAATACATTAAAAGAAAAAAACCAACGCAATGATTTGATTAAGAAACAAAAAGAAAAGTTGTTTACAGCGTTAAAGGATTCTAGAATGTCACATCTTGCAAAACAAAACAAATAGTCCTTTTTTTTTGCCAGCTTTATTAGACGATCCATTTAGTTTAATTGGACGAGTTGTTCTTCATAAAATAAAAGAAGTTGATGAAGAAGAGTATTTCTGGTGCAAAGCAAATGTTGTTAAAATGGGTAAAGTTGGAAAAAAAATTAAGCAAACATATGATGTTATTTATGAATCAGAACCTGAAAGCATTTATACATTTCCACTGTTATCTGACTTTGATAAAGGAGATATGATTTTGTTATAAAAGGTAGAATCACTTTAAAGTTCCTATAGTATTTTTAGTTGATGAACCTGTCCTTGTTACTATTTAAATGTAAACAAAAATTTTGTTATATTTTTTGCATGATCATTAAATTTTTTGTTTATTTTTCTTACAGGAAACACATTGAACTGCTTGTAAGATTGTGGTGCAATGTAAACAAGAAGAAATTGTGGATGATAATTTTAAATACATTTTTGCATTTTTCCTTATTTTGTCTTTGTGTATTTTTTGACAATTGTGTTTTTTCCAGCAGTGGTTATCCTTTAAATAATGTTTATTTTTTTGGTTTTTACAGAAATTTTATTTCCTTTGACCCAGTTGCCCCAAATGGGGCAAACGAACACTGGGATTTTTACATATATTTCGGATTTTAAAATATGTGTATAAACTTGTTTATCCTGATAATATGAAAAAGCACAAATCTAAAACTAAAGTTAATTTATATTCTTTTTACAGAACTCTAATTGTTTTTGGTCCAATTGCCTCGATTCTGGGAATTAGACATAATATTTTTGCATATTTTTTGATATTTATAAACGTAAATAAAATTGTTCACTCAGACAGTTTGAAAAATCTCTTTGTCTTTAACTAAAGCTAATTTTTACGGTTTTAACAAAGGTTTTTGTACTCTTGGCTCAATTTACCCCAAAACAAGCTCTGTTTTTTTTTTTACATATTTTCCTAGAATTAATAAATAAAAATAAATTTGTTCATTCTGACTTAATTTTTTTTTTTAATTTTAAATTTTAAGTTAATTTTTGTTTTTACAGAGCTCTGATTGTTCTTGGCCCAATTGCCCTGAATGGGGGAAACAAGCCCTAAGGCTTTTACATATTTTCTTAATATTTATAAATGTAAATGAATTTGTTCACTCTGAAAGTTTGAAAAAGCTCTTTTTCTTTAACTAAAGTTAATTTTTACGTGTTTAACAGAGCTTTTTGTACTCTTGGCCCAATTTTCCCCGAAATGGTATAATGGGCCCTGTGTATTTTTACAGTTTTATCTAGTATTTATAAGTATAAATGAATTTGTTTATTCTGACAGTTTGAAAAAACCCTTTTTTTAAACTAAAATTAATTTTTATTTATTGTACAGAACTTTGATTGTTTTTGGCCCGATTGTCCTGAATTGGGGAAATTAGCCCTAAGATTTTTACGTATTTTCTTGATATTTATAAATGTAAATGAATTTGTTTACTCTGACAGTTCGAAAAACTCTATTTCTTTACTTAAAGTTGTTTTTTACGGTTTTAACAAAGCTTTTATAGCTTTTGATTCAATTGCCCAAAATGGGGCAAACGAGCAGTGGAATCCTTACCTAGGGGCCCCTAATATGAGAATAATAATTTTTAGAATTGAATGCTTTGATTCTTTAGTTAAAAAAAAATAATAAAAAAATAATTTAGCATAAGTACTTCAAAGAAACTCGTTCTCATTGATAATATTTAAAAAAAAAATTTTTTTCCAAAATTTGGTGCCATAAATCCTTAAGGAAAACTCAAGAAATCTTGTCGCAAAATAGGCATTATTGAGCCCAACATAAACTGTCATAACTTGGGAACCAATTATCCAAATTTTAAAAACAAACTCATTTTGAAAACGTCTTTATTACCCGGATACTTTGGCATTAATTATAACAATTAATATAATATAATTACTATAATAATTATAGTGAAATCGAGTGAAGTGCCTACTTTAAATATAATACATTTTTTTACTTCAGGTTTTTTTAATATTTGAAAAAACTTTTCTCTTTTTTATATAATTTTCAAAACCTTTTTACTACCCCTAATAGTGAATCTAATGAACACAATTTTAGACCCTTTAGATCACATTCGCTCATCGGTATTAACATGAATTTTGTTAAAAACTTTTGAAAAAGTTCCTTAATTTACTATAGATCCTAGTTCTAATCGGTTCTGACGTATATTAACTATATATAGTTGTCAAAATACAATATTACTATCAATTTTCACAAAAAATACTAGAATTCCGACCAAAAAAGAGCTTATAATTAAGAAAAAGCGCCAATAAACGATCAGAACAGATCATTTTGTTAAAGTATAATGTTCATTTTACCTAAAAAACGTATTTATTTAAAATCTTATTTAAATTTGGACTAGCGATTAAGGTTTTAAGAAGGTTTAAAAAAAAAAAAAAGAATCTGGTCTGGATTTTTTTGCAACATTTTATGATACAGCAAAATCTATCTTTTTAATTTTTTTCGTCTTTTTATAATTCACAGACCTGATCGTTTAACGGAAATATGTCATTATCAACAAAATATCATACAGACGCTATAAATTTTAAAAATGCCTTAACTACACCGAGTAACTAAACTAAGAAAAACTACTAACTTTTTAGTTAACTAAAATTACCCGATTTAATTTTTAGTTAACTTAAATTAGTCGACTAACTTTTTAGTTAACTAATATTACCCGATTTAATTTTTAGTTAATTAAATTTAGTCGACTAACTTTTAAGTTAACTAAATTCACCCAACTTTGTTTTTAGTCCAACTAAATAAATTTATAAATATATAATATAACTTTCTCAACTTTCTCAAACAAAAAAATATGATTTTAATAAGGGTGACTATAAAAACTTTAGTATAAAGATTATGGAAACTAACTGGCAGTAATTATTTGAAAATAAAAACACTAACGAATGCTGTGAAATTTTCTGCAATAAATATGATAAACTCAGCAAGCAATTTATCCCGTTAAAAAAAGTCCATACTACTCGTAATGTCCCGTGGATGAATAAGGAAGTATTAGCTATGATAAAGAAAAAACAACAACTAGGCAATTACTTATCTATGACAAACTGGTGATCAACGACCCTCATTTGTGAATATAAGAAACTAAGAAGCCAAGTTCAGAAAGCATGTACACATTGTGTACGAGTATTTGAAGCCCAACTGGCATCAGATAAAAATAATCCAAAAAGAATGTATGTTTATGCTAAAGCGCAACAGAACGTTCATGTATCTATTGGCGCTATATCTGATACAAAAGATGAAACGTTAACAAAGGGAATACATATCGCAAACAGACTTAACAAACACTTTAAATCATTTTTAGTTGATTATTTAGCAATAATGATCAGTTAGCGGTTTTTGAGAGAAGACATAATTAAAAAGACTTTCGCGATGTAATAATAAATTTTGAAGCGATGCTAGCCTATTTGAGTGGATTGAATCCAAATAAATCTATTGGTGTTGATAACATTAGTCCAAAATTACTTAAAGAATGCGCAGCTCAAATGACTTACCCTCTAACATTAATTTACAATAAAGCACTGTCTGAAGGCTCAACTTTCAGCCTGGAAGTAGTCACACGTTGCGCCGTTGTTTAAAAAAGGAGTCGTCTTAATGCCGTTAATTACAGACCAGTGTCTATCACTTCAGTTCCATGTAAAGTAATGGAAAAGATTATCAGGGAACATATAACTAAATATCTTGAAAAAACAAGCTGCATCTCAAACAATCAACATGGATTTATGTCCAAAAAGGGATGCACGTCTAACTTACTGGAAAGTGTCGACTACATTACGAAATCGTTAAGCAAAAGAAATGTTTTAAGCGAAGTTCCACAAGTGTTTGTACTTGATCCAACATTATTCATCATCTACATAAATAACTTAACGGATAATTTAAAATCAGTTTATAAAATCCATGCTGATGACATTAAAATGTTGCTAGAAATAAGACCTGAGTTTCACGATGCTGGTTGTCTGATTCTTCAAAAAAGTTTAATCATTGTCTCAGAGTGGTCAAAAGAATGGCTTATGAAATTAAATGTTGCAAAGTGTAAAGTTATGCACCTTGATCATGGAAATATAAATCATGAATATGTAATGAATGATGGTAATACATCTCTTATTATAGCGGCAACGGATATTGAAAGAGACCTGGGCATCTTTACATCTAACGATCTAAAATGGAATCAACACATACAGGTTGCAACACGTAGAGAAAATATGATACTTGGCCTAATTTAAAAAAACAACAATTAGATCAAGAGATATGAAGCTTTGGGGTAAATTATATACTGCATATGTTAGACCGCACCTGGAATTTGCTGTTCCGGTATGGTGTCCTTACTTAAAGGGCGACATCAAAGATATTGAAAAAATTCAGCACAAAGCAACAAAAGTTCCTCATGATTTAACAAGTTTACCTTATGCTGAAAGGTGTCGGCGTCTCAATTTTACTTCTTTGGAAACTCGCAGGCCACGCGGCGACATGATCCAACAATTTAAACTTGAAAACGATTTTGAAATTATTAATCGGCATAATCCACCTCTTTGCAGATCACCATTCAACGTACTAACGCGTGATTTCACTTACAATAATGCTCGACATAATTTCTTCACAAATCGTATTGTGAATGATTGGAATTATTTACCTTTTTCATGCAAAAAGGCTCCGTCAATTAAGGGATTCAAAAGTAGAATTGACAAGCACTTTTTTCCTACAGCTGCAAACAGAGCAGCTTTTACTGAAGATGAGCTGCACGTTTAATTTAATTAATTCATGCTTTAGCAGCTACAAATATTGACTTTTTAGGTACATTTGTCATAAACGTAAACTGTAATTAAATGAAAACAAAACAAAAAAAAATTAAAAAAAAAAATTAAAAAATAAATAAAAAAAAATAAAAATAAAAAATAATTAAAAAAATGCTTCTGTTTTTTTAATCTGTTTATTTGATTGTTTTTTTGTTTGTTTGTTTGTTTTTTATTTGTCATGTAATCTATAAAGACTTATTTAAATATATTACTATTACTATTACTATATAAGTAATTTGGATTTATCTTTCTAGTTAACTAAAATTACCCGACTATCTTTTTAGCTAACTTAAATCAGTCGACTAACTTTTTAGTTAACTAAAATCAGTCGAGTAACTTTTTAGTTAACTAAAATTACCAGACTAACTTTTTAGTTAACTAAAATTAACCGACCAAGCTTTTTGTTAACTAAATTTACGCGACTTTGTTTTTAGTCCAACTAAAGAATTTTATAAATATATAATATAAATAATTTGGGTTCATGATATCATTTCTATTAGAATTTTTGAATAAGTTTGCTAATACATGATCATTTTACCGCATAATAACGCAAAAATAAAAAAAATATCAAAATAATTTTCTTTCAATTTTCAGTGCCAAAGGTTTAACAATATACTTTAAGAAAATATTTCATAAAAAATCCAAAAACTAAAAATGGTAAAACACAAATATCTTTAAAATTTAATAAGCTACCAAAGCCAGCTCAAAGGGTGAGGGGATGGGGTAGTTGGTTTTGTGTATGGCATCCCATCAATGAAATTTTAGCTCATTTAGTAAGGCAATTTGACTCTTTTAGATAAGTAAGTCAGCAAATGTATATTATCAGTACAGTCACTTAGTAAATTAAAAAAAAACAAGGATTTTTTTTCCTTTTTCTAGTCAGCTAAAATTTTAACGGCGCTCTCTACGTTTTACCTACTTGGGCCGGCCCTGTAAACTACAGTATATTACAATCATTTATACTTGTTTACTATTTATTTTCATTTATGTAAATACGATTTATTGTTTTTATATGATTTTTTACGTACTTTTATTGTAAAAAGGCGTTTTTATAATATGTTACGTCCTCTCTTTTGTAAAAGGCTTCTGACGATAAGATCATTGTGATCTTCTTTTAGAAGCCTTGTTTGTATTTGAAAAATATGTAATTTATATATATTATGTCAAATGTAAACAAACAAAAAAATAATAATAATAACAATTCGTTTTTATTATGTGCCAGTTTTTTTTTTCTTTTTTTTTTATGCCACTTTTTTGGATCGAAACTAAAAGTTTTCAATTATTTGAAAAATACGAGAAAAAAAAATATTCAAAATGCGTTGGAGAATTTTTGTCGGAATTTCATTTAACAAAAAAAGTTTGTGATATAATTCCAGTTAAAAAGGTGACAATTAAATCAAAAAAATTTAAGTTAACATTTGACGATGAAGATGATGATTCCGGAAATGATAGTAACAAAATAATGTTTAGATTTAAAAAAAGAAATTAGTGGTTATATAAAATTGTTAGTAAATGAGCAAAATGTTTTGCTCATTTACTAACAATTTTCATCATATTGTATTGTATTTCAACAATAGGTGGCCAAAAATATAATTGTTGTATTTATGTGGATATTAAGCCTTATTTGAGTAAAATAGAGACTTAATATAATAATTTTAATTTTTGTGTTTAACTTACTTATAGGCGCATCAAGGGGGGGGGGGATCCACCACCCCCACCCCACCCCCCCACCCCCTTGATGCACTGGCGCACTAATTGGATTTTTTATATGTTATACTTTTAGACATTGTTTAAATAATGGATGATTTTCCACGGCTCCAAACTTGTTATGTTCATGCTTAAGTCAAAATAATGGTTGGCAAAAAATTTGCGGTGATTGAAGTCCGAGATCAAAAATAACCAAAAGATTAAGCCCCTCTTCCACCCAAATATGAGGGCAATGAGTCCAAAAAAAGATTTTGCTGCTATCTTATACTAAACTTAAATTCGTTGACAGGTTTCAACTTTCATCGAATAATCTTTTATTTTCTGAAAGTTATGATCATATTAAGTTTACAACCCAATGATTTAAAGTTTTCTTTTCCTGTAGTTTCGCAAGCCACTTGGACGTGTGATCCATAAGATCCTGTAGTTTAACTTTGGCCTTTATTTCAATAGCTTGAATAGATGTTTGTAAAGGTGATGATTCGTTTTTTATTTTGGAAGTTACTCGATAAGATAGAAATCTGCATGTTGCTTCTTTATGGGTATTTTTATAAACACTTCTTGAAAGTTTGTTATCCAAGAAATATGCAAAAGATTCTTAAGACGTAATTTTCTCTTGCACTGTGGTTAGCTTAGAGAAAAGCAATAACAATTCATAACAATTCATTTCGCTTTCTTTTTAACGACACTAAGTAATTTGACTTAATTATAGTTAGGTTTTTTAAATGTTTTTTGCCACTAACAATATTTTGACGGATTCCGTTTTTGAATCAAATGATATATTTGCTATTATTTGTCTTTTGGTTCGAGAACTTGATTCATCAATTTGAATCATTTCTTTTTTTTGATATGATGCATGTCATAGTGAAACATACTTTGCAAGAGTTAGTTTTAGTCTCTTTCTTAATACATTTGTTTTGTCTTCTCAGACTTGAATCCTAGTAACAATGTATTTAAACCCATTATTTACATTTTCAAAAGCATTTTTCGATACCTGAAATCATAATATAACAATATATAAACATTAAATTGATTTCCTCCATTATCTTAGTTCACAACAATAAACTTACAAAGTAAAAATAAATTTTTTAACAACATTTAGAAATTCATGTGGTTTTTGGTTGATTAGTGGGACAATAAAAATGCACTATAGAATTATTTTTTTTTAAATTAATTATGTATTTTAAAACCATAAACTCATAAAATTAAAATTAAAAATAACTTTTTTCCTTTCAACAAATTTACTTTGTTTACAACACGAAAACAAATTTACTTTGGTCTTTCATGTCTTAAAGTAGTTTTTTTTTACTTTTTGTAATGAATGAAAAAAAAATTGTTTATTAAAAGAAAAGTTTTATTTGTTTAAAAAAACATCAATTTTTTAAAATTATTTAGCGCTCAAGATCGCGGATGATCGCAGCTATACTTCTCAGGGTAGTTAGTAGACACTATTAAAATAGATTAAAAAATAGCAAAATATGGAAAAGGTACAAATTAATATAATTTTTTAATTCTCAATCAAAGTTAAAACTTAGTATTTTTGTGATGAAATTTTTACTTTCAATGCTAAATATTATAGTGCCAACTTTTTCAAGAAATTTTTATTTTTTGTTTTTAACAGTCTATACTGTAACCTTTCCAATGATGTGTATATTCTCATTTTTCAATGATCTGTATATTAAAAAAATAGTAAATCCAGCATCTTGAGAGTTTTTATCGAAAATTCATTAAAAACCTAACTTCAAGAAGCCATTAACGTTGAGCCTGTCACATTTAGGATTTCATAAATTGGAAAATTCTTAGTGAGGGTATTAGTAACAAAACCCACTATCTAACATTATGATTGAACTTAGTCACTTTTTTGATTTTTGGCCATGTGATTTCCAACTGTGCAGTGCACCAAGTGAACGCCTTTTCTCTGACGCATTAAACACTTTGTATACAAAGAATGACAACTAAATGTTTTCAAATGTTTATGTTTTAGTACGAAAATTTGGAATTTTTTAGTTTAGTTTAAATTTATTAAATTTAATACTGAAGTTTATTCTTGTAATAAATATTTTTTAATAAATTTTATTGTTCTGAAATAAATGTTATTAAATTTAGTATTCAAACTCTTTTGCGTGAAACTAATTTTTTCTTTTGTTGCGAAAATGTAAAAAATTAATATAGTTATATAGATAAAGAAAAAATTAAAAATTAAAAAAATTAATGTGTGTTTTTAATGTTCTCGAGTGTGCGGTTCTATCATAACGTTGCCTAAAGCCGCAAACTTTTTTTTTTTACTTTTATTTTGATAGTTTGATAATTTTTTTTTAATATTTATTTATATATACTTCAGTATTTTTTTTTAATATCTATCTAATGAAAAAATACAAACATAAATATAAATAAAAAGTTATTGCATTTTTATTGATAATTGTTTTGACCCGTATTTTAAATAATGTATTTTAAAGTAATATATTTTAAAGTGCTTAAAAATTAAGTATTGCATTTTTCAAGTAATAAATGTCATAAATTAAAAAAAAAAAAAAAATTTTGTTTAACGCCTTCATAATGTCAAAATCTCTTATTGTCCCCTAATTTGTCCTTTGTTTTGTTTTAAATACTATGACAACCTTATAAATAGAATTCGCAAAAAAGCTCTTTGCATTGTCCATAAAAGGTTTGACTTATCTCTTGATGAATTGTTAAGTTTTGATAATAGTCAAAAGATCCACTTAAGA